AGCTGGAGTTGATTGAGCAGGGTCCACTGTTTATTCACAATGGCAGGGCATGCATTATTGTTATGCAACTAGCTGAATAGGACTAGGAATTGCTGGCTCACCCTTTTTATTCACTAGACTTCTCTCCCCCAGACTTCCATGTCCATGCCCATGTTCCAAGACTCAAAGAACTGCTTCGTGGCATCCACTATCAATTTTTGGTGGATGTCAACCTAGCAGTTTCTGAGAAGCTGAGGGACATACAACGAAATGGGCTGGATGGAGGCATTCCAGCCCTCCCACATAGGTGGCAACGTATTGTAGACTGCCTCGGAGAGTACTTTGAAGGATCATAATAGAAGTTTAGCTAAGCTGACTTTATTCACTTTTTGATGGGGGGGGTCTCAGAACTTATTGACTGACCCTTGTATCTTGGTCCACCCTACTAGCTTACTTTTCATGTCCAGTTATTTTCTCAGTAATGAAATAATTATGGGGTATTATGTCATCCAATGGAAGGTGGTGACTTGATACAATTGTACATATTTGTATTGCAGTAGAAAAGGTAAATCCCTATCCTGAACTAGCAGCAAAAGGAAGCCATATTTGATGAGAAGCACTTAGTTTGCAGTCAATTGTTAGTGTGGTTCTTACAAAAATTATTAAATTTTGCATATACCTTGGATATGGGGAGATGGAAAACTTGGATGTTTCATTATTATCATCTGGTTCAGGAAATTTAAATCTGAAAACCTAGATTGTCATTGAAATAAATTTTAGATAGCATGTCCTTGCTGGTCTACATGGACTTGTAGGGGGAGGAATCAGCTGATTGACCATTACTACTGTCACAGTCATTTCAATTTAGCTCTCATCAATGTTTTCTTCAAAATTTGCATCACCCACATCTTCATCTCTTAAATCATAAAGTCATCTCTGTCACTATCACTATCTAATACTAGCTCACAGGCAATAGGGTAACTTGGGGTAATATGGCCCTCCACAATGAATCCCCTTACAGACTGAATAATTAGTTTGGGTGAATTAAAAAAATCGTTCTATCGAAGAACACACACAATTGTCGAAATGTTTAGACCTGTTCATTGATCCAGTTCTCACAGGAATTCGGGATACATCAATGTCTTGAAAGTCATATGGATGCGATTCTTTGACTCATGACCCTGAAACTAATATGAGCCTTGAGCAACTTAATCGTACATTTCCATAAAGCAGTATGGATAAAGAAACCATTTATTCAGAGTTCTTCTATGATCCCTCCAGAATGCTTGTGCAAAATGCTAGCCCCTTCACTTGCAGTTTGCGGACAGTGTTGTCAATTTTGTCATGCAAGCCAATATGGGGGAATATGGCCATCTCGATTTGGGGTAATATGGACACATCCTTCATTTCATGTTAGCATTGCACTGACCTGTTGGTAGTGTCAGCTTCCTTTCATGTTTGATCTCAGGCTGCGAAAGATCATCCAATACACTTCCTATGGATATATGGATAGAAGTACTAGACATCTGGATGAAATATGCAGTACATGAAGAGGCAGTGCATGAGCATATCCTCATGCACCACCTCCTGGACATCTGCTTGACATACTCCAGAAATTGTAGTAGTGTGAAATTTGCATGCAAGTAAATATCCCTCGTATAAAAAGGTAAAAGGGCATTCTATGATTTTTTGGTACTATTTATACATACATGCAAAAACTAAGCAACATTTTTCCTGTAATGTAAGACCTCTTATTTTATACTCGTTATGCATGTTCACTTGAATTTATGATTGGTCACTCATCTCAGACCCACAGTCTCTGAATACAGTCTCCCAATCACGTGCAATGCTACTCAAAACCAAAAGCGTTTCAATCCTGCTTTCCATAACAGGTCCTTGCGTCAGGTAATGATTTCGACTTCTTTGCCTGTCCTCATTGCAGGCAATGTTTTTATTTTCAATTGTTGAGCCTCCATTATTATGTTTCAAGGTACTCAGCATGTTCCAGCATATTTCATATGTACCTGGAAAACCTTGAGTTGTTTTTTGAGAAGTGGCCATATTCCCCCAGCAACATAGGTAATATGGCCTCTTGGGAACGACTTGGTAAGGATCCAAAGGCGCAATATCCATGTGGTTTTTTGCATGTACCTTGCTGGGATTTACTAAAGGAGATATGAATCAGTATTTTAGAAACATTTTAAAAGTCCAATTCGACCTTGATGGGCCGTTATGACCAAGTTTAATTTTGTAGGGCCATGTTCCCCCAAATTACCCTATCCTGATTACTGAGACAAGGCTTTCCACTTTGACACCAGCTTTGCTTTTGGTACTGTAGCTCAAGATATTAATTGCATAAAGTTTTAAATCGATTGCAGGTTTGTGCAGGTTCCTTGAAGCCTCCAAGTACTATATGTGCTGTAAGTGCTAGAAGTTGACCTGTTTCCTAATAGATGGCAGAGGCTGTAATATCTGTGTATGTGCCATGGCAACCTAAGATGTCCATGCCAAAATACTGACAAAAATTCCAGGGCATCTTAAGATGCCCGTATCATTCAAAGCGTTTATAGGATTCACAGGAGATTTTTGTTTATTTAGTTGAGAGTGAGAATGGAGAACAACAGCAAAGCCTCTTGTTCTGTTGATCTTTATCTTGTCTGCTTCATAGACCTGGCTAACTTGTCACATTGACATGCCAGACTTAACAGCCTTTCCTACTTTTTCTTCTGTATAGATATGATAACAAGAACCAACTTTTTGCTGGTAAACACAAGACATTGTAATGTGGCACAAACAGACAATACTAGTACTTTCTTTTTTTGCAGACTGGAAGAGTGAAAGAAAAAACAGTGCAGGAATTCTTATATCTCACTCTATTCTTGCTTTTTATGCCCAATGCACCTGTCCCACTTTGCCCAATGCACTATAGCAGGTGTATCAAGTGGCATGCACAAGGCTGCATTAGGATTTCATGTTCATAATTTATGCACTGGCATTAGGCTTCTGATTAAGTATCCTTATTAATATACATATAATTGTGAACAACATGTTTATTCATATTCAAGTATCAAGTGGTTTGAAAATTCTGTCCAACCAAAGTTATATCTTCCCTTCTAAAAAAGCAAAAACTTGGAATTTTATCAACTTATAGTAGAAATAAAAGTAATTAACTTGTACTCGGGTTTTTTATCCATCAATGCAATTGTCTGTGGATTGATAAGAGTTATCTTCATTTGATTCTGACTTGAAAAAAGTTGGGAGTCAAAGCACATATATGCAAGTTTTTTTATTCAATATCAAATCACCCCATTTTACAGTACTATAAAGGATCTTAGAAAGTACTGCTGTAAGAAAAGTGAACACATCATTAACCCTTTATGTGCTCAAGTGCCTGGAAACTGCACCCCTGTGCTGTATACTTTTTTGGGAAAATGCAGCCTGCTGAGAAAAAAAAAATTAATCCTTCCAAGTTTACTGAGCTGTTTTTATTGATTTTACCTCATACCCAGAGGAAGTTTCATGATACATGTATGCAGCCATAGCATATGGAGGGTGTATGAGGTGTCCTCTGAAAGCAATGTAGCAGAAGTCTTCTGGGAATCCTTCAAATCTACCCTACCAAAAGGGGTAGAGTTGTACATTACCTCTAAAGTAGCAACCAAGAGAATACACATTCTCTGAGTGACACAGGATACAAGAACTCATTCAAGAGGGATACTATCAGAGTAAGATTGTTTGCGCTTGTAGAACTTAGCATCATCAGTATAAATACCACAATCTCAAGAGGCAGGCAAATGTGGAAATCTACATGTCATATGCATTGAATTTTATCCCACTTTATCCATAGGTGCTGACTTCTAAAAAATATTGGGGGGCAAGTTCATAATGCCCCTGAAATAACATTGATGGAATTAGTCCAGGATCCAATGGGGTAACTCAGTATTATTATGGTAGCAGAGTGATGAGCAGGGGGAGGGGGGGGAGTGGGTTGTTGGGCATGGCTCTTCCACCCCATACCCTTATGGGGTGACACAGGGATCTCCCCCAGTTGGAGCTCTAAACAGGAAAGAGAATCATATTTTTCATTTCTTTTGTGAAGCAGCATTTTGTTTCCAATTTTCCATGTGTTTCCTTTGTTGAAATTTTGCATTCTTGGGGGGGCATTACCCCCTCAATAATATGGTTGGAAGGCATGTGCTCCTTTGCCCCTGTGGGTTCAGTGCCTATGACTATATCCCAATGTGACTCAATGTGACAAAGAAATGGTTGTTTTTTATTTTAAGTCACCTGTATTACCATCAGGATGTATATAAATTTTACAGCCCATTGTGACGTCAAGGTAACCTACTGCTTTGCAAGTATGTCCATACTTGAAAAAAAATTATATAAGAATGCAAAGTGTTTTCCATGTTTCCAAAGGATGTTTGCTAAAAGAAAATTTTTCCTCCCAGAATATAATTTGGACAATGTAGAGTTAACTCTCTATTAGGACATGTGAGTCACCAGAAATTCTGGACCTTTTTGGAGTCACTTTTGAGTAAAGAAATTTGGCACTTAAAGGCCTAAAGCACCCCCACTGGGTGATAGAGACAAAGAAGCCAGCTCTAACCTGAAGGTGTAGACTCTCGATACATTTAAATTAGTTTTCGATATAAATGAGCAATCTGAGACTGTTCCTTTCAGGTCCAGCTGTCACCCTTATTATCATAAAGCATTTGAAAAGCTTTCTCAATGATGAATGGGTTGTGCAGTGCTAGGCGAGAGCATTCTCTCACCCTAGAAACTCAAATCAATTTCATGGCATTCTAAATTTTTCATATACCAAGTGGCACTGAGATCACTCATATCCTTGGTGTTGCAGCATTAATTTTGGCCAATATATTTAATTTAAAGCTAGTTTTCCCAGAATTATTTCAACTGTTGTCTTAGTTGAAGTTACTACCTAGCAAGCTGGAAATATGGAAGACTCAATATTGCATCTCCCATTGGACTCATGTTGAAAGTAAGAACATTTCAGGCACATGTGGGGTAGGTCTAGGTCTAACCCAACATTCTTTTCCCTTGTTGTAGTTGAGGATTGATGGTTGAATATGTTTGACGAATTACCAGTGCCTCGGGTCATCACTGCCATCAGAGCTCAAAGTAGCATCTCCAATCCTCTTACTTATCCTTCTAAGTTTCAACATGATCCAGTCACCCTCCTCCTTAAGAGAAGAGATCTCACCGAAAAGGGTGAACGGTTGGTCTCCCACTTCTGTCATATTTTTACTCTTCTGCATGCAGTATGAATCAGTTTTTCTAATTTTAAGAAAATTAGTATGGTATTATGGTCTTAATGATGACTAGAAGACTAAAATAAAAAATAATGAATCCCCTCTATGGGTTCAATCTCTGGCTGAAAGAAGATCTAGCCTAATTCTGTCTTCATCAACTACATTGTAAAAGAAAAATGTTATTAAGATCCATGACTAAATTTCTAGCATGAAAACAGGAGCATTGATTTATTAAGAAGAACAGAATGTCAAGCCATTTTATTCCTCCCCCTTATCCAAATCCATGGACTCATGAAAGAATGTAGATCCAAGGGGGGGATGCATGGCTGAACTTGTAGCTTTGTGATCATTTCTTCTTATTGCATCCCACAGCTAAGTTCACACTCAAAAATTTATTTAATGAAATTCCTAGCATTGGAGCATTTATTGAAAACTTTAAAAACATGTTAAAGTTCTTTGGCTTCTAAGGATTGTTAAGTTGCTTGACAGGTGTTTGACACTTTAGCATGAAAAGTATGTTTCAGCTCAGTGAAACTAGGGAAATAGCCTCATATCAAGGGAAAACATTATATGAAGAAAAACTTATGGGGGGTGCTGCTGTTGTGACATTGTGTACACAGAAAGTTGAGTTATATGAAATGGGCAAGTAAAAGTCAGCCATGAAGTGTAGTGGTGCCTCACATTGAATCTATTCAAGTAATGTTTCACAAGTCCTATTATATATTCAATAGGTCAACATTGTCATAGACTTCTTGAGAATTGATACTTGCCACTTCACCATAGCATTTTATATGTGCTTCTGATGCCTGCTCCTGCTTTTTGTGAAAATGACCTCACCAATGGTCCCCCATCAGACACATGTTCCTTTCATGTAGTTTTCCCTCAATTGTATGATTTTATTCCTCAAAGTTCATGGAGCTGTGGTGCACACTTTTTATGCTAGAGTGCCATTCAACAGACAAGCAACTTCATAATAATCCTGTAAATTATTTTCATGTAATTTTTCCAAACTCTTTTAACCCTTTCACTGTGAAAGGTGACTTCAGTCACCCACAGTTCTATTACTGATTCAAAATTTACACAGCAAAAGGGTTAAGTTTCTCATGACTCTATCCCTGGCATATTCTCATTTGTAATGAAGTGATGATGATTCAATTGTAGTCATGACCACCAATTTGAGGTGCATATTGGTTGACATTATCCATGTTTTGTGCGAAGTGAACCTAGAAAACAGGCAGGAAAGAATACAATACTAAAAGGGTTCATGTGATCAGGCCTAGGCCCAAGCTTCTGCCATCAGATGTCTGCTTTCATAATTTGTAGCATCATGGTTCAGTTGAAACAAAGAAAGGATGCATAATAATAAAGGTTGAATGCAATACTGCATTGAATACATATTGAATTACTTTTTCTGTTAACTTGTCTCATTTCCTCCTTCTCAATTGTATTTGAATTACAGGGTAAGGGCATGGGAGAGACTGAATCATGAGATTGGGAAGAGAAGAGACAAGGAGAAATTGGCCTTGCATTTAGTGAAAGAACTGAGGAGTTTCACCCATGATCTTTGTGGTCGAGAAGCTCCCGAAGCAACTGTTGAGGATGCTTGTGCTCTACTTTTTTACCTCTTCAATGAGAAGAGGGTTGTGGAACAAAGGGACATTGGTCGTCTTCGTCTCTCCTTTGGAGATGTCTCATCATCATCTGCCAACAAGGCGTTCAAGGTAAAGACAGCATAATATCTACTCTTATGGTTCCAGAAGTTCAGCCAAAAGGCGTCATTAAATCATTAGGATTCTCTTGGCTATCATAAGTTACAGGTATAAAAGAGTGTGGATGCCTACAGTTGATATGCTAGTTGCCACTTAGGAAAATTTGTATTGTGTTAAATTCAGATTGTTATAACCAGGTATATTCAGGTAGACATACTTCTATTATTTTCTGCTAAGTGAAAACTGCAGTGAGAATCTCAACAACTGCTATATTTTCATCCGTAGCAGAATGACCTATCTCCTATATTTCATGGTTGAAGGAAGGTAATATAAGAGCCATCCCAAAAGTTTGAGAACAAACATAATACTGTGTGTATGTGGTTCTGTACCAACTCTGTTATAATAGTGTGCAGTGTATAATAATGTCTCATGGTAAATTATAAACAATGATGTAATTGATATTTTTTTATTATTAGAGTCGACTGTCCATATTGGAATACTCACTGGACCAGCAGACTTTATTCTATAATCTGGAGTATTCCAATTACAGAAACTATCTGTTGTATCGTACCATAAATCGGGACTGTCCAATGGTATTCTATTAAGCGGAGTATTCTATTAAGTAGGACTGCCATGATAGGTCAATGCATTAATACCAATATTGATGGTTGGAGATATCGCTAGTTTTTTTACCATCATGATGTATCGGCATAAGATTTTGAGGGGGAAAAGTGCCATTGGATTGTGGCAAGTACAGTACAATACAGTCTGTTGGGGCAGGGAATGAAAGAGGCAGTGTGACTTGCATGGGTGTTTAATTTCTATCACGATCAAATTCTGAAAATGCTGGGCTAACAATATGAAAGATGGAAGTAAAAAAAAAAAAAAGCAAAGGCAAAACACATTGAAATTGGAATGAACATTGGGTGATGATGTGGTTTCCAAAAAGCGTTCAACAATGTAAATTCGCTATTCATCTGTAAACTGCACAGCCCTGGTATATTATCTGTAAGAAAAAGAAAATTTAGAGTTCTTCTATCATTTAGTGTTTGTTTGAAGTGAATATTCATAATATTAAAGGATTCACAGCCAACTGAAAAGGTAAACGTTTTTGTGAAACACCCTGCATTTGACATTTTGACATATTGCAGGATTTTCCATGTATTGTTTCATGTTTCAATTTTCATGGATTGTTCATGAACTTTTGGGGTGGCCCTCGTAGTAGATGTGATGCTGCATTACCTTTGGTGCAGTATGAATCCAAGCCAGCTTTTTTTGTTGTCATTTTATTTGCAAAATTGCCCTCTTTCCAATGATTCTTTCCCCACCAAGTCAGCACTAAAAATGTCCACTTGACCAAACAGTTAAACAAACTTCAGAGACCAATATCCACAATTGCTCCTCTAAGAATCCAAACCTTCAACATTTCATTCCAAAGTACATTTTAAGCCCTTTCCAAAAATTCTAAATTCAAGGTTGGCTCTCAATTGCATTAAAAGATATAACCACTTGACTGTTATAGCAGTGCCAAAATGGCTATACAGGGTGCTGGGTGCTTCAATCAATTCCCTTAATGATCTGATGGAGGAGATTAAACTGCTGACTACCCACAGCTATATAACCAAAACCAAGGCAGCTCTCCTTTAAAAGACAAACTAATATTTGCCAGATGGTAGATACCAGTCATTCTTCTAAACTTTGCTTAAAATAGAAGTTTTTTTTTAAGCATAAAACACTCACCTGAATCCAATCCAAAGATTCCATTTGGATTTCTCAAGGACATTTCCAGTTACTTTACTTACTGGTGAAATAAAGCCAAATATAACTTTACTCAGAGACAGGTTCTTCTCCATTCTGCAACTTTTTATTCCCTCACTGTTACCTGCAAGAAAATGAAAAATCAAAGAACTAAATTCTTTGTGTCACAAATGCTCCCCATTCCTTCTGTTTCTCAAACTGGTATAGCCCCATGTCCATGCTTAATCATCCAAGTCTGTGATTGAAGGTAGCAAATAACATTTTGTCAGGAAAGGCATGTTCAGACATGATTTCCTGATATGCTATTTGTAAGAATTTAGGCATCAAATGATGAGCTCTTCAATGAAAAGAGTTGAATATACTAGCCCAGGATGTAGAGAGAGGGACTTTTTTTTAAAATACATTTTCTCTTGAGAAGCATGTGCTTCCATATTGGGTGCTATAACTTCTACTTCTTGGATTATTACAGTATTTGGAAAGTGAATGAGGCTTGATGAATTTATGGAACCACCAGTTGAAATGATTAAAAATACATTTTTGTTTTGGCCTTGCAGAAGGTGAAAGAATTGTGTGCTTCTTTACCTGAAACCTTGCTGGAAGAAGTGAAAGGGAAGAGTCATGCAGATGTAGATGAGACCACAAAGCTCAAGGCCCCCTTTGGAGCAGATTTGAAGATTGATGCATCTGTATCAGGTCCTCCCTTTCCCCCAGGGCGAGAAGATGCTTTGATTGATTTCTATTCCCTTGATACCCATGATCATGCTCCAGGTGTCTCCCTGCAACTCTTGCCAGATGTAGGTGTTCCTCCCTTGCTTTAAAACTCGTTACTCGCAACTATAACTCACAGTTAGGGATAATGGCACTGGCATTACTTTATTGTTTGATATATGTACCTCAGGTGGGTCAGGCTGTGAAACAGTGGGACAGAGTTTGGCTGGAGAATTCCCTTAAAGCCAGTGTGGTAATGGCTGGAATTACACCATCTGAATTGGTCTCCTCTGTTGTCACACTCCTATCCTCCAAAAAGTGTAATGAAGAGCTCCAAAATGAGGTCAGAGTGCATACTCAGCAATATTGTTCTCATACAATTGAAGATCCCATGGAGGAATAGTGCCCCTTAATGAGTGTCTTGTGTTGCAGTTATTTGATCTTCTTGGATTTGAACGTTTTGAATTGATAGAAGAGATCCTTATGCATCGGAAGGAAATCCTCGATTCTTCAAAGCAGGTGGGATCAACCTTAAATGTCCCAGTTCAGGCTAGGGTATCTGGAGTCCTTCATCCCAAGGGCAAGTCATCCTGAGTTAAAAAAAAAAAACCACTGAAATCATTCCCATCCTCTGATAATATCCTTTTTGGTTGCAGAGAGTGAGAAGCGTCCATTGTATGGGTGTCAGGTGATAGTTCAGTCAGAGGAAGAAGCATTAGCAAGGAAGCAGATGAGGAGGGATGAGAAGAAGCTCATAAGACAGACTGGCAAGATTCTCAGTGATGATCCAGGGGAAGGAGGAGATGAATTTGATCCTGCCCTCCTTAGGGCTATCAGGTCGCACTAAATCTTATACATTTGCAGTAATCCTTAGGGCTTGCTTTCACATAGACAAAAGTGACTGAAATGACTTGGTATCTGTGCAAATAGGCTACTGGCTCAGATACCATGTTATCAAGAATGATGATCAGGCTTGGTGTACTTCAGCTTTTTACTGGCAGCCAGAAGGCTATACTGGAAACAGAGAGAACATCAGCTAGAGTTTCTTGGAGAGGAATAGTAGCAGAAAATGGTAAAATTAATGGGACTCTTTCCTGAAACATTAACCACTGTAAGTGCTCAGCCAACCTTTCCTTGCCAAGTAATTTTCAGTTTTCCCTTTTCAGTAGAGTGGAATGCTAGTCATTTCATGTCTAATGGTCCAATTTTCAAGAGTTTGATTGCTGCCCAAGTGGGATTTGGCTTTAAAAAAACCTTATGTACTGTTTATTTGAAACTGTTGCATCCAAAATTTCAGCAGTTGAAATCCAATGGTCTTTGAGATATACCCCTTTGAAGTTTTGGAGGGGAGGATAAAATGACCCCTTGGACAAATGCAACATCTCCCAAGCTACTCAAGCTAGAATGCGAGTTAGAAGCTCTTTTTAAAGCATAAAGTCAAGCAATCACAATTTATTTAATGAATGCAGTGTGGAAGTTTTTACAATGCGGCAGGTGTGTCTGCATGTATCTACAGGATGCCAAATAGAACTTGGAGGTTGTGCAATTTTTTAAGAGTGCCATTTTCATAAATTCTATCAGCCTTTACTAGCTTTTTGCAAGTTAGATTCATGAATGAAATTATGACATCTTGGAAACACATGGTGGAAGATGCAAATGTAATTTACCACATTAGTATAACTTATTCAATAGTGTAGCTATTGAAATCAAATGACTTCATCAATTTTTCCTATTTGTAATATTTTACATTTAAATGTAATATAATATATTCATTTTTGAATGCATGTTGGTGTTACCCTAGCTGTTTTGAATTAAAAAAATAAAATATAATATGTTTCCATGTCTGAAAGATGATACAGGTAGGGTTAAGCCTTTGATTGTAAATCTTGCTTAACCCCTCAAGCGTGTGCAACGTCATATGCTGTTCTCGCACTGGAGTTGCTGCTGCCTACCAGGAAAGTCACACTTGCAGGGTTAGAAGGTAAATAAAAAGCATTCTCAACCTTCAGGATTTCAGAGTAACAGGAAGAAACTACTGCGCCTGATAGGACCTTTAATATCATTTTGTGAAATAGTTATACCTATAACTGGAATGAAGCAAAAGTTGTTAAAGGTTGAAATTTTGCATTTTAAATTTGTATGGGGTAGGTGTGACAAATTCCAACCCTGCTATAAATTCTGCCTCATTTTACATAATTCAGTGTAACAAGGAATCCAGACAGCCTTTTCCAACCGAATGACACCAATGTTTGGTCTCAAAATGTGAATGGGCAGTGTGTGCAGTTTCTTCTTGAATAGTATAGATCCCAAAACCATAAAGGGATGGATTTTAAGCTTAAGAGGGTCAGAATTATTACTTACTGTAACAGGTTTTTGAAGTACTGTAAAAACCAGTTACATTTATTATTGGACTAGCCTCTTGAAGCATTTAAGACATCCTAAAGATGAACTAGTTAAACTCATTCCTATTGTGGAATTTTTAACGTTGAATGTGTGAAAATTAAAAATAAAAAAATTGCAAATTTTGACCTAATTGACACATGGAAAAACTCATGAAATGAATTAAGATTGCCTGGCTACTTGCTTTAAAATGATCTATCAGTCAGTTTTCTAGCTTGAGTAGTGTTGGAGATTTTGCATTTGTATGAGGGGTCATCTTACCCTTTCCTTTCAAACTTTAAAGGGAGGACTGTTGGACCTAGGCTGCTAAAATTTTGGATAACCATAACCTCCTGTACAAAAAAATATTTACTGCCAAATCTAGTCACTGAAGCAACCACCTTGGATGGAATTTGACTGCATTTAGCTGCCATCTCTGCAAAAGATGCAGGACTATGTACAGCCAAACATCAACATGCCATATGGTGTGAATACAGTCAAAGGCTTAAGTATAAATGTGTTTTTTGTATATATATTCACTTAGAGAGAGCCAGCTGGAAGAAGCCAAGCGCGCACCAATCTTTAGACGGAGAGTAGCTGATGGTTCTCGAGAGTCAATCCCGTATCCCCATGTTTATGACTCACTTGCTGTGGCCAAATCCCAAGCAGGTTAGTGTCACTCAGGAGTCCCTCATTATCCCAACACTTCATTTCAGAGTTTCTGTTATAGTTAGCCTTGTGTCTTTGAAAATGGAATGAGGCCTCTTATTCAATTGCTCAGGTGTTTTGTATGTGTGTCAGTTTGTAGCTTTTGTTAACATTTGTAGGAATACTGTGACTTTTTCAAATTTTTGAATGAAACATCAATTTTTTTGCACTACTGCTTCATGTGATAAACTTGTTTGTTCTTGAGGGCATATCATCCACTAATTTAATTTAACCCTAGAAGTGGCAAGGTTAAACCCAGTGATAGGTGAACTGTTGCTTGATTGACAGTTGCCGCTTCTAAGGTTAACATGCCCTTTTTCTTTCAACTGCAGTTATAGATTGGACTCAGGAAATGGAAATAAATCCAGATTTGGTTTGAAGAAAAAATAAGATGATCAGATTAGTGTAGATGCCCTGAGTTTAATGGGCTAATCAGCTTCCTATGATTCAGATTTCCCATGCCAGGATGTCAATTTTTGAGCATGGGTTTTAGCTGAAATCTGAGGTGGAATCAAGGGCAAGAGCAGCCAAATGCTTTCCAATTGCTAGAAGATTGGTTTGCTTGAAATGGGCTAACTTAGGTTGTGTATAACTTCACAAAAGAAAGTCCATGAAGGAAATAAAGAACCACTTGACCAATCATTTTAAATGATTGGTCATTCTTCTTCTTAAATCTTTCTGTATGGGATGATCATAAAGTTCTAAGCCTGAGGCACTTCCATCAGCAATACACCATTCTTAATCTGCTTATGAGAAGACAGATGTCTTTGATGGTGACTAATAAAATGTCATCTTATATGTTGATTAATGATAGCTTCTATGAAAATTTTGAATATGCTATCAAAGTTGCTGCTGAAGGGGCATTAAAATTGAGATGAAATGCTGTGGTGTGTTTTCCAACCTCTAAGTAGTTGATCTCCCTGCAGATATTTAATAAAAGTATTAGTTGAACTCTATGCTCTAAGCTGCTTGAAGATCTGTTGGGAGATCAACCACTTAGAGGTTAGAAAATTTGTTACACCATTTATCTCAATTTTAAAAGCCCTTCAGCAGACCCTTTGGGAGCACATTGAAAAAAATTCATAGAAGCTATCTTAAATTGCCAAATATGATGACATTTTCCAAATCACCCTCAAAGACATCTGTCTTCTCATGACAAGAGTAAAAAAATGTCTATTGCAACTGGAATTGCCTCAATCTTATAACTTTTTAATCACCAACATAATAGCTGCATGAGTCTGGTCAATTACTGGATTTGATCCCTTGAAATTTCACATATTGAGCACATAAATCTGTGATTGCCAGAAAGAGTGCATGTCAAAATGTGCATGTACAATGTTGAGTGAGATTTTAATATAAAGCCCTCTTTAGTGAAGGAATGCTGACTGGACTTGGCTTGTTTTTATAGCATTAGTGGGAGGTCGGAAGATGGTTTTGCCAGCCACAATGCAGAGGGTCAACACAGAGCGTTATGAAGAGATCAATATCCCTCATTCTGGTCCTGCACTCTTGCCATCAGATATTGGACAAGATCTCATCTCCATCAGCTCCCTTGATGATGTGAGTCTCTTTCTTTTTTATTTTATTTTATTTACTAATTTATGCTGATTGATGAGCATCTACTTGAATCTATGGCTTTTCTCCTCAGATTGGGCAGGTGGCATTCAAAGGGACAGAGAGCCTTAACCTCATCCAGTCTATTGTTTACCCCACAGCATATTACACAAATGAGAATCTGCTTGTCTGTGCCCCTACTGGAGCTGGAAAGACCAATGTTGCTATGCTTGCTGTTGTCCATCAGATCCGCCAGCATCTTGACCCTGATGGAACAATAAAAAAGGATTCTTTCAAGGTATTTGACTTTCAACCCAATCCTTCTTTTAAGGAGCAAAGCTGCATGCTTTTGTACTGTTTTGTGCAGATCATATACGTGGCTCCCATGAAGGCTCTTGCTGCAGAAGTGGTGGAAAAATTCTCTCAACGTCTTGCACCACTGGGCCTCCAAGTGAAGGAACTGACAGGGGACATGCAGATGTCCAAGGCAGAAATTCTTTCCACACAGATGATTGTGACCACTCCTGAGAAGTGGGATGTTGTAACAAGGAAACCAGGAGATGCATCCCTCTCACAACTTGTCAAGCTTTTAATCTTTGATGAAGTTCACCTCTTGCATGGAGACAGGGGACCTGTAGTTGAAGCCCTTGTTGCCCGAACACTTCGCCAGGCATGTCACCCTCTTCCTGAATTTATTATTCTTCCGACTCCTCAATCCAACTTTTCTTCTTTCTAGGTGGAGTCTTCTCAGCGAATGATTCGCATTGTTGGACTCTCAGCCACACTCCCTAATTATGTGGATGTTGCCATGTTCCTTGGGGTGAATCCAAGAGTGGGGCTTTTTGTCTTTGACTCCAGGTTCCGCCCAGTGCCCTTGAATCAGACTTTCATTGGTGTGTTTGGAAGAAGGATAGGGCAGAAAATGCAGGATGTCCCATTTGAAAGTAGCCCAGCAAGTCACTTTGTCTTGTTCCCTGTTGGAGGCTGTCTTTTGCCATAATTGTGATTGTTGTGGTACTGCAGGAAATGCTCAAAGACTCATGCAGTCGTGACTCATGTCAGCAGGTTGAGCGATATTGGTTAGTCGAGCTGTGAAAGCTTCCAGAACAGTTTGTTTGTGTTTCTCAAAGAGGAGGATGCAGTCAGTGTTGTGAGCGATGTGGTTTTAATTACAGCAGCAGATATTTATTGTTGATAATTGAAAGCAAATCTTACAAGGTTTGTTGTAAAAATTTTGTGGAGAAGTATCCTGATGTGAAAGTACCAGCAAAACATGCCAAACTGAAGTTAGTGGTGAAGTGGCTGGAAACAGGTTCCATATAGGATGAGACACCAGCCACATTTAACTGTGTGGAATGAGGAAACTGTTCATGACAACCAAAGACAAATTGAGGACAGTCCTTATCGGTCAACACATCAATTGGCTCAACCAGGTTTCAAGGATGACATGCCAAAGAAGTTTGAAAGGCTTACAAATGACTGTCTACAAAATCACTGTTGAAGTTCTGCATGAGTCTTTAAACATTTCTTGTGATACCACAGCTAACTATCGCAACTATGGCGAAAGACTGCCTCCAACAGCAAACAAGATGGAATGACTTGCCTGGCTTCTTTCAAGTGGGACACCCTGTGTGAATGGGAAGCAGAAAAGATGTGGAAGCTTTGTTCCATTTTTGAAACAGGAGTAAGAGGAAGAGGGAATAGCTTGCAACAGGTGGAAGACATGGATCATGCATGTTATGAAAAAGTGGTGTCATTCTTGGAGAAGGGGAAGCAAGTGATGGTATTTGTGCATGCCCGTAATGCCACAACCCGGACAGCCCTTGTTATCAAGGAACTGGCTCTCAAACGAGGCCAGGCACATCTTTTTGCTCCACCTGATAATTCAGCTCTTGGTCTTGCTCAGAAAAACATAGCTCGTTCCAAGAATAAGTTGCTTAATGACCTATTCCCTCATGGCCTAGCTACGCATCATGCTGGCATGCTTCGATCTGACCGGTAAGTATTGATAACCATTCCTTGTCTATCAAGGAGGATGTTATGTTCTCAGGATTGATTTTGAAATGGAGATACAGCTCCATATCCTTTTTATTCTTTCAGTGACCTTCTGCCAGCGTCCAGCATCTTTTCACAGATATTTCTTTGAAGAAACTCTGATGCCATTTATAACTATTGTCAATGAACTTAGTAGCACAATATTCAAATGTGTCAGCTTGTCATGCACCACCCCATATGCTTAATCTTGCATTAGAATAGCTAAGCTGTATTTGTACCAGTGACATAATAGCATTGGCCAAGTGCTTCATTATTAATGTGTGGTGAAAGATGCTTTGAACAAGGTTAGATTTTTAAGTATTTAATAATAAAGAAAGTCCTAACCTTTTGCACTCCACTGTTGCATCCCACACAAAATCACAAATTTGCATTTACCTCCAGTGTCATGGTACATGTGCCACCTCTTCTTTACATTTAACACCCAGGCCTTCACTCAGGAAGTTGTTTTAAAAGATTTAACACCCAGAGGGAGTTCAAAGTCTGAGAGCTACATCTTATTCTACTAAATAAAACAAGAATATTTAATTTTCATTCATTAGTTGCTGAGATCACTTTTTTCTGAACCATACTATTTTGGTCTTTTTTTTACCTGGAGTGAATAGGAAAACAACAGATTTCTACTGTGGAGTGCAAAGGGTTAGAGAGTGAGTTAGAGGGAGAGGTTTAAAGAGTGCCACTAGAAGCACCAATACAATTGTATTGCTGCTTCTAGTGGCACTCTTTAATTTAAATAAAAGCTAATGGCAGTTTGGTCCAGCTGGATTCCATTTTAAAAATTCATTTTTTTGTTCTTTTGTTTTTTTTTACTGCAAACTATGTGAAAAGATTTTGCTATTAGCTGCTGATTTTGGTTGGTATCAAAGATTATCAAAACGTATGCTGATGATTGGATGTCATGTTGAAGGACATTCAAGCTAACTCAACCATACATTGAAGGATTCATTCATAGAAGTATCTGGGAATTGGAAGATTCATGTTGCTGCTGTCTGGCTGCATGCTTCCACTCAGCTGTGCTGTGGTTAACTCAAGTAACTATCATGCATTGTACTTTTCTACAATGTCTGAGTCTAAGGTTTCATCATATCCTGTATATCCTTCATTGTCTTTGTTCAGAAAAGATGCATTTCTAAACCTTCTTATCACAGCTCCAGAAAAAACAGTTGATGAGAGGGAATGTTATTTCCATGTTGGATATGGGCCACATTCAAGGTGAAAAAAAAATCAGAGGTAGACTGGAACAAGAGAATTCTGTGAATCACACATGCCTATGAGTATATCTGTATTTTGTCTCTCTTAAGAGGGCTTTCTTATAATTTTTCCATCTGAAATGAATGCATCATATCCTAGAATTTCAGATATGATGAGGTCATTTACTTCCTGGATTTTGCTATGAAATGCATGACTCCAAAATAAATATTTCTCTAAGTAGCCTAAACCATGCCAAGAACATGTCATAATGCAATTTTTTTCATTTTGACTCTTCAAAAAAATCAGCTTTTGCCTAAAAGATTTTGCTTCAACAGAATATGATTTTTATGATTTCTTCAATATTTTGAGCATTGTCCAATTGATTCAATGGCATTTCAAGTATTCAATAATGCTGCTTTCAGTTTATGGATGTTTGGCATTTAGATACATTCATGCTGATTTTTCTTAGTGCAAAGTGAGATTTGAAAAAATATGTTAATTCCTGCAAAGGAGACAGCATGAAATGGCCATAGTTTCATCCATTAAATCTAAAAAAATAGGGAGAAAAGAGGGAAGGGGGACAAGAGAGTTGGCTTTTTACTTTTTTTTTTCTTTTTTGTGGCATGACTACTGAATGAACCTACTTTAGTGTTAGGCTATCTACTCTCTCTCTCTCTTTCTTTTCCCTATGTCAGTTTCTCTCCATCAATCTGGATCACTCACAGCTATGGTCTCATGAACTTTAGCTTATCCTTGGTTTTAAGTTGCCAAGAAAGCCACCTGACTTAAAGGGGTTTTCATGACATGAATGTAAAACTGAGTGTGTAAAAGACATGTTAGAGCCGTCAATTCAGATCATGGACAGAGAAAGTGTATTACTGCTTCATGAAGTAATTCTGATGCTCCATCATGCTTGAGTTTCCTGACATAATAGTGATAAATCTGATCTAGGTTAGTGCTACTACCACAAGTGTAGGTGCAGTTGATAGTCTGGCCTAGCTTCCATCTCTTTCTTGTGACTCTTGATTAACAACACAAAATGTTGTAGTCTGAATAGTATATGGTGAGAGTGTAGGAATTCCTTGATTGCAGTGTTGGAAGGACTACTAATAGTTATTTTGTAACCAGTTTACTGAAATTTCCAAGAAATGGTTGATGCATTTTATTTTGCAAACTAAGAATTTGCATCACTAATGCATTTTCACACTGGGCCCATTCAGTTTTGACCTGGGTTGACTCGAGGGTCATTGTTTTTAGCAGGCTCTGGGTTTATCAAGAACCAATTATGCCTGGATTGATGATATTGATTATATTGACAGGAGGTGTCACTCTGGAGTAAAATGCCTTTTGAAGCCCCTTTGCAAATGTTGAATTATGACCTTGAATCATGACTCAAGGTCACAACTGAATGTGCCCACTATTGATGACTATATGCACTTGTTCTTTTCCCTTTCTTATGAAGGAACTTGGTAGAGAAATACTTCAGGGAAGGGTACATACAGGTTCTGGTATGCACAGCCACTCTTGCTTGGGGTGTCAATCTCCCTGCTCATGCTGTCATCATCAAGGTCTCTAAAATCTCTTTCTCTCACTTAGTCATCCTTACTTAGGACTTGATAGCATCCACATCCACCCACAGGGTACAGAACTGTATGACTCCAAGTATGGAACATTTGTGGACCTGGGGATGCTGGATGTGATGCAGATTTTTGGTAGAGCAGGTCGACCACAATATGACAAGCTGGGTCATGGGGTCATCATCACATCTCATGAAAAACTCTCCCATTATCTTTCCCTTCTCACATGCCAGTGCCCAATAGAGAGCTCCTTCCTACAAGGCCTGGTTGATAACCTGAATGCTGAAGTGAGCTATTGTGCCATCGTAGTTTAGTTTTTTTTTTTTATTCCTGGGCAGACGTTTTGGTAACAGTCAGGCTTACCTTCCTCTTAGGTGTCCCTGGGGACAGTGAGCAACATTGATGAGGCAATGGAATGGATGTCCTACACATATCTCTATGTACGCATGAGGCGCAATCCCCTTGTCTATGGGATAACTCACAAGGACCTGATGGATGATCCAACTCTGACTCGACAAAGACGAGAATTTGTTGTGGCTGCAGCCAAGGCCCTGGATGCTGTTAAGATGGTGCGATATGATCCCCGCACATCATACCTCCATGCCACAGATCTTGGACGTACTGCAAGTTCATACTACATCAAAAATGACACTGTGCAATTGTTTAATGAAGCCCTTCATCCAAGTGTGCATGAAGGAGATATTCTGGCCATGATCTCCAAAGCCCAGGAATTTGATCAGCTCAAAGTCAGTAGGAATTAGTGGTTTTCTATGTGTGATATTATTCTTTTGCTACATGCAATATTATATATATGGATGGTCTCACTGTTTCAGGTCAGAGAGGATGAAATGAAGGAGTTGGAATATCAACGAGAAGTGTCATGTGAACTACCAGTGCCTGGTGGATGTGAGAACTCATATGGCAAAGTGAACATCCTCCTCCAGACTCATATTTCACGAGGAAAGCTGGAAACCTTCTCTCTCATCTCTGATCAAGCCTACGTTGTTCAGGTGATTGCAAGGATATAACAAAGTATTAACCTGCAGCCACTCTTGTAGAGTCCAACTGGACTCCACATGCTTTTTTGTTTATGAACTTTCAAATGCCATTAGGCATAGCATTGTTGATATTGACTCTTATTTTGAATTTATAGGCTCTCTACTTTGGCCAGACCCCTTCCTAAGCCTTGATCCTCTCCACCCAATCTATATAAAAAATGAATCTCCTGAACTCATATTCTGGTCTAGTTAGGCATCATGACCTATGAACACCACTTTTCTGGCTCATTTCAATCCTAAGATCCATGAAATTAGAATTCCAATTGGAAATTTTAAAATTAATTTTCATGCAGTTTTTGTTCCTCCATTGCAGTGATTCAATTAGGTTTCTTCCTCCCATCTCAGCTTGTGGTCATGGTGGGGGAGATACAGTATATCTCCCTCCAAAACAATAAAATTATTGAGAAGAAAGCATCTTGGTTGCTCAAATGCTCTGTTGAGCCTTAAGGAAGAATAGCAAGATTTAATCAAGGTTTCATATGCTTGGTGTTACAGTTAGGATAATACCTGCTGAATATCTTGCAGTACTTTTCAAAAGGGGAAGGGAGAAGGATTGAAGTATGCCAGACAGAAGGGCATCCATGGTATCCCTTACAAAAGACCTTCCTCATCCTACACTGAATGAAACTACAATGCATTAAACCATTCCTATCCTGCACCAACACAGTAGTGTATGCAAGTCTTATTTTTATTATTATTGTAGAGCTGTCATGATGGCTGTTTTGAAAATGTCGATGCATTGACCAGAACTATTGATGGCACATATATGCAATGGGGAAATTATTTACTTCCCTTGAATACTGTGTATCAGGGTGCTTCCTGTCTCTCTTGCAATAATATGAGATTGGAAGGTTGCCCTTCTGTTGTTTTTTGCCAAAATCATCAATAGGGTATGAGGGTGCCTTCTGTTTTTTTGTTTGTTTGTTTGTTGTTTTTTTTGTTGTTGTCATAATGGGGTGGGAGCACTAGGACCATTATGATGGTTGATGTCACAGCCAGTGAAATCTCTGCCAATCACTGTGGTGTTTGGTGATAATGATAGTTTAGCAAAGATAGTTTTTCTGACAAACATAATTTCTAGTATGTACAAGTGAAAAAAACAGTGCTCTGGGGCCTTTATGGATCCTCACTGACATTGGAATAAAATTTAAAGAACAATGGTGGGTGCAGGTTAAACTATTCATGGCTGTAGATGTGATGCTGACTTCATTTGTTCTGTCTACCCTGTTCAGAATGCAACTCGTATCCTCAGAGGGGTGTTTGATATTGTGTTAAGGCGGGATTTGCCTGTGCTCACTGGGCGTGTCCTCTTACTCTGCAAAATCATTGAGAGACAGCAATGGGCATGGGAACATCCTCTGAGACAGTTCCTTGGGCTCACCCATCATATTTCCCATGAAATTGTGAGCAAGCTAGAAAGCAGGGAGCTGGACTTGGATCGCATCAGAGAGATGACATCTGAGGAGGTGGGGCATCTCATCCATCATGTGAAGATGGGACAAGATGTGAAAAGGGCTGCAGAGGAGATTCCCCTTTTAGATGCACATACCACCATCCAGCCTATCACAAGAAGTGTTCTTAGGGTGCGACTTGTCCTTTCACCAGCATTCCACTGGAACCAGCGCATACATGGTGGAACATCTGAAGGCTTTTGGGTTTGGCTTGAGGACCCAGATACTGACCACATCTACCATCATGAATATTTTGTCATCACCAAGAAACAGGTAACATTGTCTGAAGGGAAAGAATGCAAAATTTGTGCTAAATGCAGTGGAATTGCCCTACTTGTCTATGGATTCTTCCAGGTGATGCGAGAGGAATCACAGACTTTGGTATTCACTATACCAATCTTTGAACCCCTTCCATCTCAATATTATGTGAGAATTTGTAGCGATCGATGGTTGGGTTCTGACTCCCTTGTTCCCATCTCCTTTCAACATCTCATTCTTCCAGAAAGACATCCTCCTCACACAGGTCTCTTTTTTTTTTGTTTGCTGACATCTATAAAAGCATTCTTGGAGTGGTTTGTGACATGTGTACTCTTGTTCTGAATGCAGAGCTGCTGGATCTGATTCCTCTCCCAGTTTCGTCCCTGGGTGATCCCCGATATGAGCTTCTATACACATTCACACACTTCAATCCTATCCAAACTCAACTGTTCCATTGCCTCTATCACACTGATCACAATGTCCTCCTTGGAGCTCCAACTGGATCAGGAAAGACCATCACAGCTGAAATTGCCATGTTTCGGGTGTTCCATCAGATGCCAGGATCCAAGGTGGTCTATATTGCTCCTATGAAGGCTCTAGTGCGAGAACGTGTTGCTGATTGGAAGGTGAGGCTGGAGGAGAAACTTGGACATGCAGTAGTGGAGCTCACTGGAGATGTGACCCCTGATGTCCGGGCCATCCAAGTAGGTCTTTTCTCTCTTCTACCTCTGATTGTTCCATATCTCCAGATGTACATTCCATTTCCCTCCCACTTCAGAGTGCAGATGTCATAGTGACCACGCCAGAGAAATGGGATGGTGTCAGTCGGAGCTGGCAGACAAGGAGTTATGTGAAGAATGTTGCACTTATTGTTATTGATGAGATTCATCTCCTGGGTGAAGATCGAGGACCTGTCCTAGAGGTCTGCCTTTCTTTGTCTGTCCTTTTCATCTCTCCTTTCTTATAATGAGGAAAGGTCAATAAGTCTTGCCTTATATAAGTCTTGACAGCATATATGGCCCAAAGTGTATCTATTTTCATTCTAGGTATTACTGATTTGAAAAATTATGAGTGAAAATTTCAATGAGATTTTTGGTTTGGCAATTATAATTTCTGAATCAAGGAAGCTTTGTCCTTTACCACTAATGATGATCCATTTATCATGGGTCATCCATCTAGTACATAGTTCAGGAACTAGTAGTTAAATCAGAAAATTGTGGTGAACAATTTCCTTTTTTATATATTTGCACAATAAGCTCTATCTGATGGTAGTAAGCATGTGGATCTTAGTTCAGTATGGCTCAATCAGTATCAAACTTGAGATCAAATCCAACTGTCATCCAGGGAGCCTTGACCTGCCTTCATTGTTTGAATTTATGTGTTAAAAGCAACGAATGCCAAACCAGGAAGTTCTGGTTCTCAAAATAAGGGAATTATCCTGCAATACCTTTACCATATCAGCATGACTCCAGCTGGGTGTAGGGTCATGGAGAACCAACAAAGCCAAATCATGAACCATGTTTCTCTATGAAACTTTCATCCAACCTTATTGAGAGTCTGTACTGCATAACTCTTCAACTATTGAGTTTTAATTTGGATTCTGAACTTCTTTTGTTGGTTTTTTTTTATATTGTTCTGTCCTTTTTAATTATTTTTTCCCAGAGTAGCAAAACATTTTCAATAAAATGTTCATAAAATCATTATATTTTGATTCTAACTGATGAAACTGAGATCATTTCCCAGAAGTAAATGGTGTGCATGAGAGCAAAGTACAACAGGGTTCACCTGAGTATACTCAGGTGCGATAGTCAAAGGGTTAAAAATAAAGGGGGATCATTTTTTTTTAACTTTAACTTGGGACCTTGCCAAAGAACTAACTTAATAACTTAATAGTAACCCTTCTATATACAGGGTGTTCAGTAAGTCCCAGGTCACTTATCCAGTTATTGATCCAGTAGGTCAGTGTGTGCTCCACCCTTGTCTTGGCACAATATAATCCTTCTCCAAGTTCCAAACAGTGGCAGCTATGAGTCTTTCTTATATTGTAAAGGGACTAGTATCTGTCATCTTGCATCAGCAATTAATAATTAAAATTATCTGAAATAGAAACTAAGAATTAATATCTATAATAATCATTGTAAATAATCATGACCTGGGACTTACAGAACACCCTGTAGATTGACCCCGAAAAAGACCATTAGTCCCACATTCTTTTGCTTGCTAAATAAAATGTAATGTTTCTTGTAATCAATGGCATTCATATAAAACCATCCAATTTTTGTCACCATGTAAAATTTTGTTTATTTTCTTGTATTCAATTCATTATTTTTTCTAAATCCTTGTTTTTATCATAGTCTCTTATTTTTGCTGTTTTTAATTTTCAATTTTGACTTCTTTCATATAATTATTCTCTTTTGTTATTTGGGGTAGACACACTGCTGCAGTTCACCCATAGGATGCCACCAGTGGGCAATGGCCCATGTGTTAGGAAGAAATCCACATTAGTACTGGTGTTAAGCAAATTTAGAATTTTTGATGCTTAGAAATGTGGCTCTTGATCTAACATTATAACTTGGTCCTAATACTAGAACTACTGGGGCAGTCATTTTGACTGCTTGTGGATTTTTAATCCACATTATTCTGCTTGTTTGGTGACCAAGGGCCTCAGCAGTTTTTAATCATCTTTTTTTTTTGTGAACATTTTAACAAATAAAAAAACAAATAGAATGTTACAGAATAATAGTTTGGGACTACTTTTAATACAGTGGTCAAATTGACCACACTGGTAATTCTAGTAGCAATCTCATTTCTGTTATTATTGTGAATATTCTGAGAGGAGAGATTCATACTTTGCACAAAGCTGGTGTTTTTGAAGAAAAAGAGTTATATTGTCTCATGAAAAGTCAGACTGGAAAATCATTCAGTGACTGTCCTTAATAATGAATTCTGGCAAACAATGAGCTCTTGGAAGAAGTTGAAGCAGTTTTGCCCAGTATATTAGCAATATATTGTGATTGTACTGATAAAAGAAAAAACAATGCACAATGCCCTCCATTTACCAAGAATGTCCTTTAATGCTGTATTTTATTCCATAGTCCCCACCAGGGGTGCCCAACCTATTGCCTGTAGTGACGATTCATCTGGTCTATGGTGCTTCCAAAAATTTGAAAAACTTCTTGGAAAAGAATCATCACTGGAATGACAATTCTTTGCTCCCATTGCAGTGTTATTAATATTTATTTTAAAAATAGGTCATGTGGCCTGCGGGAGGTTCCTTAGTGGTGATGCGGCCCAGTTAAGTAGAAAGGTTGGGCACCCCTGGCCTACAAAGCTTTTTGAAAGTATATGCAAGCAACAAGGAAGGATCATCCCAACACTAATTGATATAAGCCAAATATCGTGACCAATCTACATCTCTATCATTCTTGGGTAACCCTTAGACAGAACTTCTCATAGACACTGACACTGACAGAAGAGAGTCCTACAGGGTTTCTAAAAAAGAAAGGAAGTAAATATTCCAAAAGTTAATTTTCTTGTGTTATATTTAGCAAAGCTGAATCATTCTTTGGGCATTTTAAATAGATGGAAATAAACTTTCTTCTGGTGAAAATTGCATGAAAATTGACTAATTCTAAAGTGAAATATTAAAAGATGAAATTGACTGCAAAATTTAAAGATAATAGCACACCACTGCAAGTTGTCTAGTCAAGGATCTTGCAACCCAAGCTCTTGAATGCACTAATGCTCCCTATCTTTCCTGCCAAAGTTGTACTAGTGGTGCTATGCTCTTACAGTAGGTGCTATTTATTATGGTCACTGGTTATTGTTATCAGGCAGGTGAAGTGATCTAAACTCCAAAACGAAAAACCAAATCCAATATTTTGTGTATCCTTTCCTCCAGTAAATGTTATCACAGTCGTTGAATTGAGTGATCAACTTTAGTCTGAATAAAGAGGGAATCTCTCCCATCTTTTGTCTTGTTTGTTGGTCCCATTCCCCTCTGCTCCCAAACTATCTCAGTCCCATTCTTGCTGTTCTCAAACTGGTGTCACTCCTTTTTCAATTTTTCCCTCCTGGTCACTTCTAAATAGTATCATTCTCATTTCACTCTCCATGTTTGATGACTATCTTAGCAGTTACCAATTCTTGCAGAGAGGAGAAAATGGGTGGAAATCTTTCGCTTTTTGTTGAAGGCAGCTATCCTTACAAGCATTAAGAGAGGTTACCCAAAATACTCTTGATTTATATTAAAATGTATACAATAGCCTGAGGACCAAAATTGAGGGCCTAGTAACCATTACCTGCACCCAAATCACTACCAACAATCACCTCTGATGACCACTTCCTCCAATGAAGTGATTGGGTAATAAAGGCACTGATTTTCAAGCTTTCATCTATCACCACCTATTTTTATCCACTTAATAATGTTATCAGATCTCCTTGTACCAATGTGATTACAATAAGCAGCATGTATTCTATCAATACAATTGCATAGAACTTTCAAAAATCAGTGCAGAAAGAACTTGATCAAGAATCTTGTATCTGAAAGTATGTTGGAATCATGAAGGACACCTTGAATGTATCCTTAAGTGCCTTTGAGGTGGTGAGTACATTTATTTTTAATTTCCTTTTTAGTCTGCCATGTCTTTTCAAAATAGATCAAGTTCTGCACAAATTGTAATAACTGAGAGCTTTTGCCTTTTAAACTGCTTAAGGAATTTATTTCAAATTCAGCATTATTGAAACTCAATAACATAACTCAAATCATGCATTAACTTTTTTTTCATATACACTGTAATTAAAAGATATTATCCAATTTTTCTAGGCAAAGCACTTAATTCAATCTCTGTACCAATAGGATTAGGAGAGCTGAAGGCAATGGAAGATTCAGTCTATTGCATTCCTTCTTCCTTAAAATTTTGTCCTTATCTATGTATAATCTGCTTCCTGCTTCCATATAGTTATTGGAACATTGCAATATACTTGAGCTACAGTTTACCCCTTTTAATGCCAGAGTTAATTAGATCAATGCTATGAATTTCATTTTAAAATGCCAGAGTCTAGCTGGCATTAGATGGGTTCTAGTGAGAGGATAAACATGATCAAACACTCTAGCAAAATGCATTTCTTAATCTTTTATTGCCAGCTCTTCTACCCTGGCAATTTTGCATGAAATTCATAGCATTGATCTGATCAACTGGCACTATAAGGGTCAACATCATTACAGTATAAAATAGACCTGGCATTTCTATTTATGACCCACATAGGTGATAGTGTCTCGGACAAGTTTCATTGCATCACACACCAAGAGGCGACTACGTATAATTGGCCTGTCAACAGCATTGGCCAATGCACAGGACCTTGCTAGCTGGCTTGGAATATCTGACATGGGACTGTATAATTTTCGTCCTTCAGTGCGTCCTGTTCCCCTTGAGGTCCACATTTCTGGTTTTCCAGGTTAGCTTTCTGTCCTAGAAGCAAAAAATGTCTTAATGAATAGTAGTAGTACCAGTAGTAGTATTAGTTATTGTTTAAATATGTGGCATGTTATATGCAGGGAAGCACTATTGCCCACGCATGGCAACCATGAACAAACCAACATACCAGGCTATCCGGACACATTCACCTTCCAAACCGTGCCTTGTTTTTGTATCATCCCGAAGACAAACACGCCTGACAGCTTTGGACCTGGTGGCATATCTGGCTGCTGAGGATGATTCCAAACAGTGGCTCCATGCTCCTGAACAGGAGATAGAGCACATTATATCTATGGTGAAAGATACAAATCTCCGACTTACTCTGGGCTTTGGGATTGGATTGCATCATGCTGGATTGAATGAACGAGACCGAAGGATAGTGGAGGAATTGTTTGTGAATCAAAAGATCCAAGTGTGCATTGCAACAGCCACTCTTGCATGGGGAGTAAATTTTCCAGCTCACCTGGTTGTAGTAAAGGGGACTGAGTACTATGATGGGAAGAAGAAACGATACGTGGATTTCCCCATTACTGATGTCCTCCAGATGATGGGGCGTGCTGGGAGACCACAATATGATGACCAGGGTACTGTTTGTCTCGCATTCTGATGAGCCAAATCCATTTCCTTCATTGAGTCAGTTCTTCTTGTCTTCATTAATCATGATTGATTGATTGATTGATTGGTCACTTCTAGGAGTAGCTGTAATTTTGGTCCAGGACACAAAGAAGCATTTCTACAAAAAGTTTCTTTATGAGCCCTTTCCTGTGGAATCCTCCCTCCCTCAGGTCTTGGCTGATCACCTGAATGCTGAGATAGTTGCAGGTCCTTGCTACTCCAGCACTCCCATTTGACTGATTTAAGATTTTCTCTCTTCATCTTAACCCTGTCTCTTGTAGGCACTATTGCAACAAAGCAAGATGCCCTGGATTACCTCACATGGACATTCTTCTTCCGCCGTCTCCTTGAGAATCCCACATATTATGGGTTGGACCAACTAGAAGGGAATGAGATCAACACCTACCTCTCACGTCTGTTACCTTCTTTCCACAGTGCTTGTTGGATGATTCCAACTTTGTGAAATGTAGTGTCTTTTGGTCATTCTTTTCCCCAAAGGGTTGGTGGATGATTCATTCAGGGAACTCCAGGAATCATATTGCATCGAAGAAGGGGATGATGGCCGGAGTGTAAGCAGCACATCTGCAGGTCGTATTGCATCTTTCTATTACCTTAGTCACAAGACATTGAGGATGTTTTATGAGCACCTGGCACTCAATTCCTCCATGGAGGATATACTCCGTCTCCTTTCTGATGTCCATGAATTTGAGGAACTCCCTGTCCGTCACAATGAGGACATCCTCAATGGGTGAGCAATCTCAACAATGATAAGTGGATCAGTTTTAGTTACTTCACCTTTCTTGCCTTCATTCTCCCCAGGGAACTGAGCCAATTGTGTCGAATCCCTGTTGATCGACTCACACTGGACAGTCCACACACAAAGGCTCATCTTCTGTTCCAAGCCCATTTCTCCCGCCTGGAGCTCCCTTGTTCTGACTATCACACAGATCTCAAGTCTCTCCTGGATGAGGTTTTGCGAATCCTCCAGGTGAGAGAGTATGGGTTGTCCTGTTCTTGATTTTTAATCATTTTTGAACCTAGACATAACAGATTGACTCAATGACCCTCAAGCATAATTAGAGACTGCACCACCTATTTCTATGTAAAAATGTATCACAACAGATGCAGATTGCAGTTGGACATCAATTGTCCATACTAATGAAGGGAAGTTGAATGCTTTACAGACAAATCTGTTGTCAGCTCTTGCAACAGCAGATTGAGGTAGGCATGTGAACACACAGACTGGTTTTGCAGTAATGTGATACAAGTAATATGTTACAGTAAAGACATTATGAAACTTGGTAACAAGTAATAGAAACTCATTTCTCTTCCTGAGACATAATGAATAGCAGTAACATGTTTCAAATTTCAAGCAAAAAAGGCAGCATATCTGTTATTAACTGCTACTTCATAATTAACATTGAGAGTTACTGATAAAGTCGAGAATGTGCATCCACTCATTTGTGGTGGCCTTGATGAACCTGATGCAACCACCAAGTGGCTCACTCTACCCTTAAGCATCACTTTTTCATAGCTAGAGGATTGTTAGAAATGGCAGCTCCAAGTTCCTATTTCATTGGTCTTCTGGTGACTTCTTTAAAAATTCTAAGTAATGAGAAACTGTGAGGAGAATTGATAGGTACTAATTGAAAAGGCAATTAGTAATTGTAATGTCAATTTTTGGAAAGCAAGAAGTAAAAGTAAAGAGTTATATATTCTGTGTAAAACTCACAATCCTTGACACAGAATTGTAACCTCAGGAATGAATTCATATAGGAGGAAATGCTGAAGGTGTGACTTGGTGTGAAATGGGGGTTGAAGGAGGTTACTACAGTTCATCAAAATATGGCTAGCACCACTCTCAACAAGAGCCTCCATCCTGGACCTGATGTTGGCAGGGGTTGCCCACAACATCTCTAATAAACAGTAAAGATGCAACAGATCTATTTGTTGCTTTGTAGAAGGTATGCTTCTTTCTGCTGCCAGTAGTTGCACCCATTGTGCCTTCATACCCTAACCCAGGGGTGTCAAACATACAGGTGGTTCATCCAGCCTGCTGCCTGTTCTTGAAATTCCAGCCTTGAAATTTCAACTCTTGGCACCCTCTGCACACGATCCTAAGGGTGCAGCCTGCAGGCATCTGCAGGGTAAGGAATGCGGCCTGCTGACTGATTTGAATTTGATGCTCCTGCACTAACCTAATTGTGCACTGGGCTCCCCTGGTGCTCCTGCTGATGCTCATTCCAAGCCATGTTACTTCATCTGAATCATCTCTTATATACATCCCTGAAGTTATGCCTCTGTGCATTCATGTGTCTGCCACCACTGCCCACTACAACATACCTAATAGGCCTCCTTACTTTTGGACCACCCTACTTTGTTCTTTAAGTTCTTTTTGTTTTACATGCAGACATATTATGCTTTACAATGAGAATAAATTGTTTTGCATGCCCCTCTGACTATGATGAACATAGCATATATGAGCGAAATAATTGACACTAGATCTACTTTTTAAAATATATTTGGTTAGATTTATGACTCTAGTTTTATTGACTTATACTATATTATTTTTTGTGTGAAGGCAATGCTGGATGTGAGTGGAGAGAGTGGATGGCTGGGGACATCATTACAAGTGATCCATATTATGCAGGCAGTGATTCAGGCCAGATGGATTCATGACCCTCCACTCCTCATACTTCCCATTTTGGAACGAACTCATCTTTCTGCTTTCCTGTCAGTCCCCTCTTCTTCCACCATGCTTCATAGAATGGGTGCTAGACCTATTTTCCTTTTCTTGTGTTGGAGTGTTGACCAAATGGAAATTCGCCTGATACAGGAGAAGTAAGAGAATGAAGAGCCTGCCAGAGGTGATGGAGGAAGTGGCAGTAGGTGGAGGTTATGAATCCCTCGCTGACATTCTTCGACCATACTTGGATGAACCAGAGATTGAAACCGTGTTCCGTGCTGTCAATTCCTTGCCTCGACTCCATGTCTCAGCCATGCTATTGGGACGGGAGGATGAACGTTCACCCGAGGAGCGAAATTTCAACTTTTCCCATCCTCTTGGTATCTTTGATTCTTCTCCCAATAGCAGAGCTTCCCAAACCATGGGTCACGACCCCATTTGGGTTCGCCAAGATCATATTTGGGGTTGCCAACTGGCAACGAAATGCCAAGTTGTTTTTCTTTGCAATTTTAGTGCATGGGTCCTGAATGGTATAACTGTGATATTTGGTGTCATGCGTGAAAAAGGTTGGGAAGTCCTGCCCTATAGCTCTCCTCCTTGTCAAAGTTTTTAACCTAGGAACCAGGAGATAGGACCATGAAACATCCCAGAAATCAATAGAAAATGAGAGGTATCCAAATTGGAGTTTGTGTGATCAGTGTTTTTTGCTTAATGTCAATAATGTCTATAATGATGAAAGAACTTGTCCAGGTAGGAGGGTAAAATACTTTCAAATCTGGATGATTTTGGTGAGGTATCTAGACCTTCAGAATATCCAATTCACATGGTCATGCAACAACACATGCATCTCCTCCTTATGTCCTTTTCTTTTCCTCTCCCTCACTACCTCACTATGTGTCATGAGTTTACAGATATTTCTCCTTGCCATTTTTTTCTAAAGTAGTACTGCAAGATATCTAACTATCAATGTACAGAGATAATCTGCAATCTGATGCCAAACATTTGGCATAATTACTGAATTTTTCCATTTCTTCCTTAACACTGCAATAGAAAAAAAAAGTTGCAGAAAAAATCTAAATTGCCTGGATCTTGAAAATAGAATGACCAATTAATGATATTCATAGGTCATGATGATAATTGGATCAAGTGAATTGGTCAACATAAGTCCAAGAGGTGTGTTAGATTTTGAGATTTGAGGAAGAATATGAAGCTTCAGAAAGTGCAAGCTCTGCCATGGCTGCATAAGCATGAATGGTTATAGGAAGTTTTATTGGACAGATTGGCAAAGGCAGCCTACCATCACCAAGGAATGGAAAAAAAAATTGATTGACTCTGCTACTTGGACTATCTAGTCAAGGTATGCTAAGTTGTCGTGTGATGTTCTCAAAACCATTAATTAAGAGGAATAGCTCTATATGGGACAGGATAGTTTTTTGAAAGTTGCCAGAAAGATGAAACAAAAAAATTCAATACAAGTCCTCAAGCTTTTAGTTTTAGCTCACTTCTGAGTTGTATGGGACATGTGCCATCTCCAGATGTCTCTTGCTTAGAGAGTGGAACAGGCCAGCTGCCACTAGCAACGAAGTTTCTCCCCATCCCACCTTGAGAAACAAATTTTCCTAATTTAGTAAACCCAAGTAAGCAACATGATTGGTGGTCTCATGGATGTCTGAAGAAGGCATGTCTCTTGAACTGCAGTGACTTAAAAGTTCTCATCAAATCTAGTATACTGTGTGTTTTAACATGAATTGTCTGGCACAGATGTTACAAGAGAAGAGACATGGATCCCAGTTGAGGGAGGAAAGGAATATACTCTTGTCATCCACCTGCATCGGCTCAACCCCTTCCTGGTCAATGCTTCCTTCTCATTCATATGCTTGCTTCTAAATGAAGTTTTCATATTTTAAAAACCTCCTTTTTCAACCAGAAGGGGAAAGAGGGGAAGGTGAATGCTCCTCGTTTCCCCAAAGCACAGAATGAGGCATGGATATTGATCCTGGGAGATGTGGAGAGGGGAGAATTGATGGCATTGAGACGTATCCCTCCAATACGTGGGAAGACCCCTTCCACCTATCAATTGGCCTTCAAAACTCCTTCTATTAAAGGTGAATCACTGAGACTGCTGGCTGGGCCCTCCTAGCAGATTACAGCCTTGACAAAATGAGTGGGGCTGATATGTGATTCCTTGTGCAAAATTATGTGGGAGATTTATTTTTTTCATTCTCACTTGGTTGGGGAGATGTAGCCTTGATACATGTGCCAATTGTGACTTGTCATAATATCATAAATGCCAAATCCAGCTCCCTTGCCATTTCCAAGTATGATGCGTTGATAAAAATTATCGTTACTTGATGGTCTAGCAGTAGTCGCCATTGCATATGTTGGTGCTTGTCACAGGATGGGCAATTCACTCAAGGCAGAAAATGACCACTCTTGAGGGCATTGTACCATCTTGAGTATCCCAGATTTGAAAAAGTGGTGTTTGTGTATGTGTGTGTGTGTGGGAGGTTATCTTATAGATCTAGATGATGTTTAGCATGTTTTTGTTCTTTACTGAGATATGCATCTCTGCCAGAGCATTCTATGCAGCCCTCTTGGTTTCTTAAGTATGGGGACATAAAATTGTTTGTCTCTGGAGAATAACACTGCCCTTGCAGCACAAAATATTTTATATCTCAGAGAATTATGATGTTCCTTATTCTTAGTTCATATGAAAACTTTTTTATTTGTTGCAATTAAAGTCACATTTACTCCATTAACAAGGTATTAATTATCATGAGGAGTTCTGTGGCTTTTGACTTTACATTGCTGTATGCCCCATTTTCCATTTTTCCATAAGTTGTAATAATTATTATTTTTGCTCCCTAATTTGGAAACTTACATGATGGTGTTTTGTACAGTTCCTGAATAATAGTGGTTTAGAATGTGAACCACAAATCTTGCAGGGCTGTCAGTGTTCTCCAAGCACAGAGTTAATATGAGATGGCATTGAAATTTCATGTTTTGAAGTTTTCATTCAAAATACTGATATATTGCAGGATCAGCTTGTTATTACATGTATAAGTGTTGAATTTTATGCTGAAATTTCCTGAAATGATTGGACCAAATCCACTTTTTATAACATAAATAAGAGTACATGTGATGTTTGGGCACCTACAGCATCATGCAACATGTCAGTACTTGCACCGAGGGGATGTCTCCCCAACAAAGTGAGATAAGAGTTGAATGCATGCCACTGCATCATAATAGCATGAAAAATGAAATGAACTAAGTCCACTTTTATGCTCTTTTAGCACTGCTCCAATTGCCATCCCTTTCTCTCCTCCTAGGAAGAGTCCGGTACACCTTATATATCATGTCAGATTCCTATCTTGGCTTGGATCAACAATATGACCTCTTCTTCAATGTGATACTTCCTATCACATGCCCTCTGATGCCAAATAAGGGAGAAGTTGAGAAGTTCTAGCCCAATCCTGGAGTGCCATTTGCTGGGGCTATCTCTCTCTCTTCCCAAAGGAATATAGACAGACTGTTCATACTGGATTCAAGATGGTTTTTTATTGCATCATTTTCAAAAAGACCAACTGGGATCATCTGATAGGAGCATTGGAGAGAGGAGGTACAGTAGTAACTGGACCCCTGGATGTATACATCCCATGACCTTTCCATTCTCCTTCCCCACCAAGCGATGTTTTCAAGTCAACCTGTGCAAAAAAGAGTCATTCATGTTCCAATTTCCAGTCTCTCTCAAACCTGCATATGGAGCATTCATAGACATGGTAGAGGTGCCATCTCATAGGTACTTATATTTGTGGATGATTTTGTGTTTTCTATCATCCTAGAAATCCTAAACTGGAAGTTTTGTTTCCTTGACTGCTTTATATTTTGCATATGGCTGTTAGCTACAGGGTGGGTGGAAAGTAACTCCCCTTTTTATTTTTTAAATAACATTAATGAATGTTAGCTGGCAAAAATGAAAGACACAACATTGTAAAGGGTATTCAATGAGAATTTATATGCACTAGGTTTGAAAGTCTTACAGCCTAACATAAGAGCCATCATTGGCAACACATTTGTGAAGTCTCTTTTCAACACTTTTCATGACGTTCTCAATGAAAGCCCTGGGAACATTTGTCAGCACAGCATTGACACATTGCTCAAGTTCCTGTATTGTCTTAGGGTTGATTTTATACATCTCTTCCTTGGCCCAACCCCAAAGGAAAAAATTGCACAGTGTTACGTCAGGGCTTCTCGCTGGTTCTTCTCAGGTTCTCTTTCAAACCTAGTGTGTATGAATTCTCATTGAATACCCTTTACAATGTTATGTCATTCATCTTTGCCAGCTAACATTCATAAATGTTATTTTATAAATAAAATGGGGAGTTACTTTCCACCCACCCTGTATATCTAGTGGTCAGGCTAAGGTATTTTAGGGTTGCAGAAAATGCAAACTCATTGACAAATAGGCTCTCATCCACAAACTTTAGCCTCTGCCCCAGTTCTTAAAGCATATGAGCAAAAGATGACATGTTTGTTCTTTTAGGATCAAGGTTTCTATATAAATTCATGACTTTCATGTATCCTAATAACATTAAATTCCACCAGAGTACATCCCTTATAAAACTATATATAAGTGCCTATTTTTATACAAATATAAATGTTACACTAAAAAAAAAAACTAATTTATCTGTTTTGAATAAGTGTGACTTGAATTCATATTTTCCTCATAACACTTATTTTGCCATTCAAAGGTGACTGGCCATAAATTAAGGTAAGGTGGTTTGAAACTGAAGGCAACATGCCCCAAAGTTATTTAACTAAATTCATAATTTGTATAACTTTTACAATGGGCTGAAGTCCATTCCATCTGATATTGCCCATGGTTATTAAACTTTATATGATACATTTTAGTCATTTTCCATTGTGACATCATGTTACTTCCAGTTATGTGATGCAACTGCCAACTTGAAGTTCACAACATTAAGAACTCCAGAGCAATCTATAACCATAATTGAATAGAACATTAGGGTCCAAGACCCCCACCCCCAAAATATGTTTCTCATGGTATATACACCAAAAATAGGATTATTAGCATCAGTCACAATTGTCTAAATATAGGATGTCCATAAAGTTATTTTCCTATTTCATATTCAGTATAAAGGATGTACAGCCAATGGGATTTATGACAGCAAAGTTTCCAAAAAGTTTCCAGATATCATTAATAAAAATGTTGAGGAGATGCATAATTACAATTTAAACAATGGTTCATATAAATAATGGAAACTAATGTCTTTTGAGGCTGGCATTGAATGAGTCTAGCATTCACTTTTGCTGCATATTTATTCATCTATAGTGGATTGCTCAATACAGGATAGTTTGGCAGGCCAGTGGGGTGGTCTCAATTTGTGGTGCTCCAGGGAATTAAAAAAATATTTCCCTATTCATATAGCCCAAACCTGATTTTATATCATATTGAATTTGATGTCATATTCAATGACAGAGACCCCCCCCCACATACATTGATGTGTAAAAGACCCATCCCTTTTTCTAGATACCCTATCAGTAGGCAAGAAATGCCTATTCCTGCAGTTTTTTTGTTAGAGATGCAGTATTCACTGCAGAAGTTAATCATTCGCATTTTGACAAATATTCTCAAGTGTTATTTGAAAAGATTCTGTTATTTGCACTTTATATTGATGCAGAAACTCTTTTCAGAGAATTGCCTTAACAAGGAATATCATGCAATTTTTCCCTGACCTTGTGCACCTGTTGAAAATCACTGCAAGAAACAAACTTTGACTTTCCGTAGCAATAGGGTTAATAATAGGCCACAACTGCAACATCTATGATCTCATGTCCTAATCCACTTAGATTGGGAAGTGAGATATAATAATAATAATAGATAAGGGCCCATACACAAGAACCTATCACTTGATAGCAAATGATAGACCTATTGCCTGATACCTATCATGATAGCTACCATGTAATAGGCTAAGTTCCATATGCATGAAAAATTAATACAGGGTGTTTCAGTCAATTAGTCACCATTTCAAAATAATTAACTTTTAATGTGTACAAACTACAGTGGCGATTCGCAACTAAATACAGCAGACTTCAAAGTTTATTTTCATGAGCAGTTAAGTGCAAGGTACGCTCAATATGACAACCACATGTGTTGTTGACAGCACGGAGGCGTACAGGCATGTCATTCTTTGAGCTACTCAGCAGCTCACTGTCATTAGTTCTCTTGAACACTTTTTCCTTTAGGTATCCCCAAACACACATAAAAAGTCACATGGGTTGATGTCGGGGATAGTCAGAGGCCTCAACAAACTACTGTTGAAGACGTGTGGATAGCAATTTGCAATGGTGTGCTCACAAAATTTAATATGTCAATGGGTTCTTCACCGTGTTGGTATGTGGACAACGTTGAGTTAGGGTTGCAAACTCCATGGAAAAAACTTTGCAGTCTGTTCAATGAAATGGTAGGAGAGCTGTCACGATAGTTTTCATACTTTAAGAGTCATATTATTTTAAAACAGGTCTGATCGACTGAAACACCCTGTAGATATCCATTGTGAGGCCTATTTTGATAGCTATAAAATACCTATCACAATAGGTATTCATGAATCTTCCTGACAACAACCTCCCATCAATTGTTCTGGGCCCAGGAACAATGCCATGTGTATATGCTCACATTATGACTGACCAGAATGTTGTGTTGTGATTTAATGGTATTAATCTGACCGCGTTTACCAGACTAGTGCTTGAATTCCAATTGTCATGGCTTGATACAAAGAACTCTAAGGGATTTAATCTATCCCAGAGTAACTGCTCTTGGCATAAGTTGCAACAATTCACATAATTCATTAGGTTAGCAAAATGCACTGTATCCACTCTGGTAGCTTGTTATGAGCAGAATAAACAAGCTCTGGATCATAATAGATTGAAGCAATTTTTATACCTATCATGATAGGTATAAAATGTTTTTGCATATGGCCAACTCATCAAACCTATCAAACTTATTGTATGATAAAATAGCTACTTTGGGGGTTATCAGTTTTATACGTTCCTGCATACCAGACAACCTAGATCCCCTCTAAGCCAGCCATGGAGATTTGCAACCACTTCTACTTTCATATTATAATTATATCTCACAAATAGCTCAGGCTTTTATCATACAATCTCATTTCACACTGGCAGATTTCTGAGTTCCCTAGATGACAACACTCATTCCACCCCCCTCCCCTCATTCCAACAGTCCTATACAGGTTAATGGTCAAGTGAGCCTGTAAGACTGCACAGACCTGGAGGGTTTCCCAGACTTTCTTCTTTGGTTGCAAGAGAGTATCAGGAGTAAGATGCTGGAAATCCTTAAAAAATATGCGATCCCCAGGCTGAGACCCAGGAGGTGGGATAAGGGGTTGAACAATCCGTCCTCCTCCCTCCTCCTTGTCCTGGGAAGCACAGAGGACCATCCCTTGACTCTCAATTCCTCGCACCTTGGCTGCCTTGAGGTTGCATAACACAACCACCAGTCGATTTTGCATGTCCTCGAGTGGGACATGCTCCACCAGCCCACTCACTACTACCCGATCTTCTCCCCCTCCTGCAACAGCCCACAAGAGCCCTTCCCTATATGGACATGAAGAAGGAGAGACAGTTTGACAGAAAAAGTAAAGCAGACCAAAAGTGATGGTTTCAACATAGAGGGAATCTGCACTGGGATGATGGGTGATTTCCAATATCTTCCCAACACGAATGTCTAAACGATGAGGGCCCATCACCTCTTCACATTGTTCTCTGCCATCTTTCCTGTTCCCTTCTGTTTCAGAGAGATATCCATCAGTCCAGATAATATGGAAGTGACATACTAAAGTGATGAAGTGAAATTCTAAAGAGAATGCAGGACCTACTGGTGGGGGAAGGGTAAGCATCTTGGGCCAGTTTGGTCAAATGAGGATCAGCAAACTCCTTTCGTATGGGTTCCAAGAGCTGATTGACATAGGGTTCCAATCCCATCTTCAAATCCCCAGGATGAAGGCTTTCATTCTGAAATGCTGCTTCTACTGATTCATAAGTGGGAAACTGGACATCACCTCCATTAGCTGTAGTGCGATGCACTACAAAGCCTGCAAAGGAAAGGAAATAGGTGATGAAGCAATATGGAGTAAAAGAAAAGTCTATTATCACTCTTCAGGAAATGAGTTCCATGCCTTCTCCTGGCTTGAAAAGTGGAAATATAACATGCTTGAGGAAGGCCAGGACCCCATTCTCTTGAATGTTTCCTGGTTCACAGAAGGCCTTTTTTAGCTTCTTCTTGACTGCAGCAGGAGTGTCCAGGAGGTCAATCTTGCTCTCCTCTTCTGATGCTGACATCTTGCCCCCAGTCAAACCTGGCACTGAGAATACAGTCAAGCAGGCATCCATGTGAAAGGCAAGTAGGAATATGCAAAGACAGAGAAGGCAAAAGGTTGAAGGAGGCACACCCATGGGATTCATGAAGTGAACACGCTTTGTGTATCCCATTTGGGGGAGGTACTTCTCTGCAAATGTAAAGATCTTCCTTTGATCCACTCCTCCAAATTGTGCATCTACATTCAAGAACACTTCATCTAGCGCTTGGAGACCTACAAGGAGAAGGAATGTTTTTTTTAGCAATTTTCTCCTCTGACAGAAAATGTGTGAGAGAGTGAATACAGACAGGGATAGAGGAGACCAGAGAGGAGAGGGTGTTCAACTTGCTTCACCACTTCAGCCCCAGCTTTCTTGGCATCATGTTCTGTCACCATGGAGGCCATTCGAAACACATCCAGCATAAATTCTCTGTATTCCCATCCAATTCCTCAAATTATTATTTTTTCCTTTTCTCTTGGGATCCAATGTGATTTTTGGATGGGACTCACCTTGACAGCTGGTAATCGGTACCTTTTACAAATCGCAGCTTTTCAAGAGGCACCCCTATAGATGATAACATGGCCTTGATCACCTTCTCATAATACTTGGTTCTTAATGCCAAGAGCTCCCAAGGTGCCTTCATATTGTCCAGGTAAGCATGCAAATCAGCAAATAGGATTGTGACCTGAAATATGTCCAAACAAAACATCATGAGTCTTGCCACTACATTGTCCCAAAGCAGCCTCATAAAAGGTATTCAAACCTCACAACCAGCCCTAAGGAAGTCTGCAATTTTGCACATGGGGACAAAATATGCAATATGGGGCTTCCCTGTTGTTGCTGTGCCCCAGTAGAGTTTCAGATCACGTACACACAAGATTTCCTTGAGGCATTCTTCTCCAAGAACTTCCTGAAGATTTTCTTTGATGAGAGAAAGCTTCTCATCAGGCAGCAGGGAATTCGAGGATGATTTTCCTTCATTTTCCACATGAGGTGAGAGTGCCTGAAAATACTCATGAGTTCAGGATGAAAAGTCCATGAGAGTTTGTTTCAAGAACTAGCTCCTCTATTTCAGCTGATCATTTACAAACTAACCAACAATAATATCTGTGGACATGCCTACCCAAAGGGTAGACTAGGGTTAAGCCTACCATTGAGCCAGTTTTATCTGTGCTGCAGGAATTCCAGGAAGTTTGAGCGAAAATTTTCTGGCGTTCTTCGTCAATGAATGTGTGAATGTGACAGAACCAGCGATGGAGATGAGGAAGTGCATATGAGTCCAACTTCAAGCCTCTTGGTAGGGATTCCAGAAATTCAAAATCTCTTCTTGAGACCACACTGCCACTCAAATAACTATTGTTCCCCAGGAATTCATTCACTTCATTCAGATCTTGTTCACATGCCATCCTCCATCATGTAGCCACCTGGAAAGGAGACCAAATCCAAACATTTTTTCCACCACCACAGATAAACCTAGCCTATACCACAAATGAACTCAGGAGAAATCATACATACTTTTTCACTGATTCTGAAATAAATCTCTCCTGATTTGCATGAGGAATGAGCATTCTATAGCACTATATCATTTTCCCAGTTCAAGACCATCACAATTCAAAAACCTGATATTGAAATATTACATTTTAAATTTCTTGTTCAACATTACAATTTTTTAAAATTGTCTTACAGGAAAATGCTCACTATCAATACATAGGTTATTTTTAAGTGTTAACTACATCATTATATACATTTCTGATAAGTTGTATCATTACAGCAGTTGTTAACTATAAATGTAACTGAAAATGCATTTTTTTTTATTGTGATAGTCTTGAACTGAGAAGGCGATAAGAAAATTCTGACTTTTCTACCCATACCCTGCTGAGACTTTTCACCATAATAAATCCTGAAAAAATGTATACAACCCCATGGAGCACGAAGGGAAAGGAACAAGCTTTTTCTTGCAATAAATTCATCGTAACAGAAAATTGAAATTTAACTCATATAGAAAAGAGAACAACAAATTTTTAGATAAGCCACAGTTGATCTTATATACTAACACACAGGGTTGCATTTCTATGAGAAATTCTATTTATTTGTCAAACAAATAAATAGAATTAGACCACTTCCCAACAAAACTACATGTTCCTTTGTTGTGCAGTATGTATGAGTGCAGATTCTCAAAGTCTTAACTGATGAAAAACCCCCCATGACTTTTCATTATCCTTTCCACATAGCTAACCATTTCCTGTTCTTTGGTTCCCATGCATCCCATTTGAGGAAATGGAGACTCCTCTAAAACCAGGGAGACAGTAATGTAATTGATCCACATGTATCCATTCATAAATCCATTGCTTGTGTCATGCAGGATGTCCATAAAGTCCAGCATTATAAGCAAAGTTGATGTTGGGGTTGCAAGAATTTACAACTCTCTGAACGGAGTCACACTGAGGAAAATGTTGGAAACCGCTGATATAAGGTTCGAATGGCCCATAGTAGCCAACTGTTAAACCCATAATCCTGCAGCTCTCCCCTTAGCTTCCCTCAAAATACACAGTCGTATGCCATTTCGAGATCCACAAAACACGTAAACCTTTTTGACATATTTCCAATGTCCCTCTAGAATCTGGTATGGAGTGGAGAGCTGGCTTGTAGTGCTGCGCCATTCACAAAATCCGCCCTACTCCTCTTCCATAGCTTTTCCATCGACTGCACAAGCACTCCTTTTGAGCACCTTGGCATAGACCTTACCAAGCATGCTGAGGAGAGTGATCCCTTGTTAGTTGGTGCACTCCTGTGAATTCCTTCTTAACCCTTTCCAGCCCAATTTTCTACTCACCATGAAAAAAAATTATTTCTACTTAAATATAACAAGTAATTAAAATAATAAAATAATAAAATAATAAAATAACCAACTCCTAAAATTACTAGAATAACTAATTATAATACCTAATGAAGTCAAAGGCTTAAAGCAATTCCTTAATACGAGGTCTGACCAAAAAGTTCCAGTACTTTCTTGTTAAAAAATAAACTGCTTTAGGTAGGGGGTTAGGACTAGTGTAGATGGGAGTGGGTAACCGTTCACATGGTGAAACCTTTGCGCTAGGATTAACCAGTCACGAATCACGAGTGTTGAAATCCGGTTGTCTCTGTGCTCTTTGTCGAATTTTCAATCATGCATCATGATCCTGATGCATCATGAGTTTGTCCCACAAGGCCAGACAGTTAACTTGGCTTACTGCAAAGATGTTTTGACCCATCAGCGAGGAAAAATTAGAAGAAAACAGCCCCAACTTTTCCAAAATGAAGCCTGGTTTTTGCATCACAACAATGCTTCAGCCCATACTGCTCTCACAATTCAAGAGTTTTTGGTTAAAAAAAAAATTCCTGTGTTGCCCCACCCTTGCTATTCACCGGACCTGGCTCTGTGTGACTTTCTCCTGTTCCCCAAGATCAAATTTCACCTGAAAGGAAAAAGATTTGAAGGCATTGCAAGCATCAAGGAAAATGCAATGAGGCAATCCTGGACTTCCAGCACTGCTTCCAGAAGTTGCAGGAGCATTGGGATAAGTGCATAGCATCGATGGGGGAATACTTTGAAGGGGGCAACAATTAATTTTAATGTACTTATTAAAAATAAAGTTTACGAATAAAAGTACTGGAACTTTTTGATCAGGCCTTGTATATATTTCCCCATTTATGAAGCTGTGTTTCTCCCATAGAAAACAGTTGGGCATTTATTCTAATTTTAACCACCCTACACTTATGGACATCCATGTGTTGGTGATCAGTCCACTGCCAGCACAAAAGTTGAACAACTTTCTCTGTCATTCCCATTGAGTGTGGCTTCTCCAAAATGGCCTACCACCCTATTCATTCCTCTACTTTTTCCTTATTATAGCTTCATCATTCCCAACTTGCATATAAAGGCTCCCATCAGAAAGATGAGATCACCATTTGGGATCCCTTCTAGGGCCTCATCCACCTCTTCAAAAACGTGTCATAGTCTGACTCGTTCGATTTGTATACACAAACAGCAGACAAGACTTTGATTCACTCAAATCTGAGGTGGACCAGAGTGACTCGCTCACTGATTGTGGTGTCCATTCCATCATGCTTCCTGCCAGCTGAGAGCTAATGAGTATCCCTACTTCTACCAAGGCAAACATAGTTCAATCTCCTTTCCTCTGCCAACTAAAGGGTGTTATGAAAGTTTGACTCGCTGAAACAAAGATAGAGACAAGATTAACGGGAATGTACAGGGTGACACAGAAACATTGAAGCAATGTAAATGGCTAGTCTTTTTTAAATTTATGCTCCAAAAACAATGCAATTTTGCACAAATACTATTCAAGGTCTTACAATTCAAGTGCAACACGTTACATCTTAGGTTTTGAAGATAGAGTCTTTGAAATGGTCTCTGTGATATACAACACAGGAAAGTAAAAGTTTTTCAAAGTCCTTGACAGTCGCTTCACAAAATGCTGAGGTTATTCTGGCTACTTCTGCACTAATATTTTCTTCAAGTTTCTGTAATGTGTGAGACCTATTTTGGCACACCTTTTCTTTCAAATAGCCCCATAAAATGTAATCAGATCTAAAAGAGCTAGATCTGGAGATATTGTGGGTTATGAAATGTCCCTAAATCAAGAGATGATGTGAACATTGATGTGTTGTCACAGGCAACTCATCAACACATGTGTAGTATGGAATATGACACCATCCTGTTGAAAGTAAATGTCTTTGAAAAGAAGGCACTGATGTGGTAGAACTAGGATTTCCAGAAAACTATGTGGTTTCTGAGTCCTACAGTAATATTGCACCATGAGAACAATCATTCATATGCAAGGGCTGGTGTTCCTTAGTCTTGTGCACACCTTGTTTTGTACTGTGCACACTGCTGGAGGTGATGTTAGTCAGTTGTGGGTGTCGCACATGTGCATATTACAACCCACAACCGTCACATTAGTAGTGAGTGCTGTTCTCCCAGACTACCACACGGACCGCACTGCCCGACATAACGGCAAGCACGTTCATGTAGATAAACTGAATCTTAGCTCTCTGGAGGGCTTTCTTTGAGAAAGTTTTCTGACCAAAACAGTGCTCAGTTCCACCACACTGAACGGCAGAAGTATCATCCTGAAGGTGAGAAGATAAGAGTGGCCATATCCAGATCACAGACTGCTGTTCTTCGGTGATTTCAAACTATGAAAATCCTGCTTCTGATGCTGCATGAACATGCTTAAGCTTATATAGGCAAGCATCACGTATCACTCTCCTGATCTCAGACGAGGTGAAGGTGACAGTGCCGGGGAAGTAATAGGGGTGAGAGGAATGTCACCCTATACACAAACCAGTAAACTCCTTCCGGCTCAGGGACTGGTTCCCTTATGGGAACATATTTTCCCTAGTTGCAAGAGTTCAACAGTTACCAACAGAGTTAGGTATTTTGTGCACGTGAAAATGTGAGTGGGGAGTGCCTGTGAAAAGTGAAACTTGTGCATCCTGACAAAGGGCTAGACATTTGGGCATACCAAAGTTGAAGTTCACATACACCTGAGGCATACTGATGCCTGATTCAAAGGGAAAAGGCAATCGTAGGGGCAATCATACTTCTTCTATGTGTGAGTGACAAGGTCTCCTGGGTGTTCATCCTGCTTGCGTTATGTTGGGCAGTGCATTCCGTGTTGAATGTGGGAGTGGAGGTTCTGTCCCCATCGGGAAATAGTGTACACATAACAAAGTTGAGGTTTATGTGCAATGTTCACAGGATTTGACAGTGTGCACAAGACGAAGGAATACCCAAGGGCCTAGACTTTTGGCAGTTGTATACTTTATATGGCAGTTGAATAATGATCCTGCTCATAGGAATAACAGCAAGATATAGAAAAATTCTTAATTGAGAAAGGTCTGAAAGCATATGAAATTTATTATAAAATTTTACTGGCAGATGGTACAAAGTGTCTGAGTCATTGTAATATCCAATAATGGGTGGAAAGATTTAAAGACAGATGCAAAGCAGAGGCCACTATGCCACACGAAAGGAGACCAAACAAGGTGATAATATCACAGACCATTTTGAGTGTAGAAGAAGTGGTTTTATATAAAAGGCATGCAACCCTTCAGGACATTAGGTCTGCAATATATAATTGGAGTCAATGTTGGGACTGTATATATGATACTGCATGGGAAACTAAATTTTTATTAAGTTTTTGGAAGATGAATTTTGAGAATGCTAAAGGATGACATGGAGATCAAGAGAGTAAGGATCTGTGCTGAATAAAAAAAAAGATTCTGCAAAAAAGATTCAAATCCATGGGGTCTCCTTCTTACACAAGCCTTCCTTGTGCAGGTGTTTGATTGGTGACAAAACACAGGTCAACCATGATGCACCTGAGACCAAATGCCAATGAAAAATCATATTGAACCCATTCTTATCCACACAGATGAAAGGAAACATGATCTTATCAAACACATTCCCAACTGCATAAATATTATCCATAACTAAACTGAAGAGAACTACTTTTTAACCTGAAAAGAAGATGTCATTCTTCTTTGCAATCAGCAATTAGAGGTTGTAATTCTTGAATCCCCCACATTTTCCAATCACCTTTCTACCCATGGGGCTTACCCAATTATGAGTCCTGCTTCTAAACTCTGCAGCTTTCCCCTGCATTTGACTTCTTGTACATGGTGTAATTTAATCACTGTTAATGGCCGATAAGTTTCCAACCATAAGATAACACCATAACCTCTCTTACATAAACATGTATGAATGTCTTGTCCAGTCTAGTACTAGCACATGAAGTTAGATTCATCCTACTCCTTTACCACTCTGTGAGTACCTCAAAATGGGAGCCTAGCATGACCATAGCCAGACTTGTCTTCTCACCAACATGCAACTAATGTGATGACCCTTTTTTTTTATTAGGAATTATGAGTGTTGACCATATCACTCTGCTTAAGTTCCATATTAATCATTTTAAATTTTCATGATGAAACTAATTATCTTAAAAATTAAGAAGTCTTGAAAGAAACAGTAAATGGTGAAATCAGTGATTGGCCAAACGAGCTCCTAATGCAAGGGGACAATTATTTTTCTTAATTGATCCATATGAAGTGTGATGTATGTAACTTAGGAGGTTGCAATCCAATGCACATTCCACCACTGTCACTTGGGTCACATTCATCCAGTTTATAAAAGGAGGGGGGAGGCGTCAGAGATATAGACACTATGAGAAGACCGAAGAAGAAATGTAGAAACACAGTGATAAAAGTAAGGGTTGGAAAGAGCGAGAAGAGGAAATTGAACCCAGAGAACAAACCCATAGAGGGTTAGAGAATTTTGAGCATGAGAGCATGACGCGACCCCCCAAATTTATATTAGGCCTCCAGAGTGGCTATTGAGAAAAGAATACCTCAACCATCGTTGTATGCATTGGAGGCAAGTGGAAGCAGCTCACCTTCCCCCACAGGCTGAGGCCACGTGGAAGCGGGGAGACCGTAATTTGGGCAGACATAGCACAGTGCTGTCAAATCGAGACTTTCTCTTTTATCATTCCACGAAACTCAAGTCGTTACTTTTCCTTCTCATAATATTTTCAGCTAGACCCATGGCCAACATGATACATTTTTCCAATTCCTTTTCTCGCGAAGAAGGGTGAAGTAGGTAACCGACTCAATGACAGCCTTGAAAAGCCTGAGCACGTTGTGAGGAAGGAACTTGTCTGGCGCTGGCGAATCCGGGGCGAGTGGCTTGCCATGAGTCCTGGCCCACTCCATCTCGTTGGCTAGCGAGCCATCTCCGTTTGGCCTATCCATAATTCCGTTGCTAACCGAATTTCACGTAGTGCCCCAATCCTTACTGGCGGGGTCGTATTTTACGGGAAGGCAGGGGGGACGACCCTAGCGCGACCCTTGGGGGTAATATGTTTCTCCCCTGATATACTGTAGATCGGGTGGAGTTTTGGTGCTCCCAATATGCTGCCCTGCCCCCCTGACTCTTCAGCCAAAATACGCCACTGGTTACTGGGTTTGTTCCACATCCCAACGACACTGTACTCAATCCAAGGCATACCTGCATTAGTAGTCTTATTTCATATATTTGGGGTATCGTGACTCCCTTGAAAAAATTTCCCAGAATGATCACGAACCAGGCAGCATTCATATTAGCAGTGTTAGCAGCTCGATGCAACCACCCATGACAGCTTTTGCTCTTTTGATTTGCTGTGGCCTTGCCAAATTAGCCCAGATATGCCTGGTGTACTACATGTAGGACGGCGAGCAGAGATGCGCCTTCATACCAGGTGGCCCCCAAAAAAGCTTCCTGTTTGATGCTTTATAAAACCCGTTGTGGATGATCCAGGTTCATGATGCTTTCATGTCACATTGGAAACACCACACAATTTGTTACCGAAAAGTTTCATGTACCTAGGTTGTCAGAATAAAAATCGACAATCGTTCAAAGTTGAGTAATCGATTAAAAAATTATTTTTTTTTTTACGCCTTGAGCCAGCAACGCCGTCTATACACTACACCTTAATTTTTTCTCAATATTTACCCAGTGTCTTAGAAGTGGGAGTGCATATGGATCCTCGCACCCGGATACAGACGTTCATCTTCATTTGGTAGAAGCCATTGCTTGAGAACGACTTCCAGAAATCATGTTCATCTAGAGCAGGGGTCGCGAACCTTTTTGGCCATATGAGCCATATTAAGATTGAACTAAGTGCTTGTGAGCGAAAGATTTTCAGAACAACATATATCTTCCTGAAGTTGGCAACAGACATGTGCATTCTTTGATTCATGAGAAAAATGAAGAACAACCATGTTTTTTTAGCCATGACTCAATAAGCCAAACTTTTCGGCTCGTGAGCCAAATTTGGCTCATGAACCATAGGTTCCCGACCCCTGATCTAGAGCCACAGAATACTAAGAAAGCTGCATCTAGTCGAATTCACTTGACTTGAATAAGCTGGAAAGATTTCACGAATCTCTTGATTTTAGAATGAATTCATCTTAAAATTAAATAGAGAGATGTTGCCTGTGTATAAACAGGGTGATTATGAAGTATCCCACTTGAGAGCGCTACAGCGTCTGAACTACAGTCCAATTCGGTTATAAAGTCATTGAAGGGACCAGGAAGAAGTCATTATAGTCGAGGTTCTTTATGAGAGAGTTTTCCTTTATTTACATTTTATCACGGTATTTTCAAGAATGTGCTGTACACAACTCTAGTGAACAGTATATTGGTCATACTATACTGCGTAATTACTTATTGCTACATTAAGAAATATGAATTCTTGCGCATTTTCACGCACATTTCCCAGAAGATACATTCTTCAACAATCCCGACCGTTGTCACATTGTCCACGCCTGACGCGTCCACCTCCACCTGCGTCCACCAATTTAGAGAAATCTTATTGCACAAAGGCGCCTCTTCACTGCTTGATGAGCTTCATACGATTTTGACATGGGCTCTGGAACATCCACTCCTTCCTCTTTGTCGTCCTCGTCGATGTCGACCAGTCACGCTGTCAATAATAAAGAGTGACAACCGAATATCAGATTGTTTGTGGGTGCAGGGGGATAATCCCTTTCTCCAATTCACACCTATGAGATCCTTTGTCAAGGAATGCAATTTCTAGGTTAGGTGGGTTGTTTATGATCACGTTCCCGACGATGGAAATTCCAGTTGCCGATGCCGAATGTGAACGAATCAGGTACAGTACAACGTTGTCAATTTCGTAAATGGGGTCATAAATTGACTACGTTATAAACGAGGTTCTTGCAATAACCGAGCTCACTGAAGGCGAGGAATGAATGCACCTATATGAGGAGTTGGACGGTCCCCATTGCGCAGGCATGGCAGGTGGCACAAGAGGAACCAATTCCAGCGCTTAGCAAACCTAGTCAGCATTGCATTCGACAAGGAAAGGGGAGGGGGAGGGGGATAAAAGCAGGAGGCTCACGCCCTCTCCTCTTCCTCGTGAAAATGAGAGACGAGTTAAATTGGTATTGTTGCAGATTCAATTTTCTCTCCACGAAAAGCAAAAAATTAACAAGTAAGCTGTGAGTAGAAAATCGTTAATTCTTGCTAAATGTTTGGAGAAAATGATGATGGGGTAATTGCGGTTTGTCGATTCTATCATCCATAAAATCCAACCTCAATTCCTTTGGAAATGGGTTTGGCCTAATCGCCTGTCACCTGCCACCTGCTGAGAGAAAGGAAAATTGATCGCTGTAAGCTGCAAGCCTTGCAGCCAAGTCAGTCCAGTCCAGAGCGTGCAGCTGTAGTGATTGTTGCCAATGGTGTGTGGCAATGTTGAAACGGAAAGCCACTCTGTTCATTTCAAGTTTATTAGAGAAAAAACCTCGTGAAATCACGTCAACTTCTGCACCTGGTCTCTGTGAAGAACAACTGGTGAGAGCTTGTTCAGCGTGCGTCGATCGGCAACAAGAGTGCCAAATTTGAAAAGGTTAAACGGAACCCTTCAGGGATGGTTGGGGGTCACCATAACAAATCCTACAGAAAAGTTTGAATGCGAACAAGATAATATTTAAAGCACTTTTCCGGAAAAAAAAAAAACAGTTGAAGAGGACTTCGCAGGCTGTACAAAATGGACTGGGGTCCGGATCCATCCCGCGGGCTGCCAGTTTGAATCTTCTTGGCAAGAGATATGCGCATCAATAACAAAAATGAAACCTGAATGAGTTTGTTCTGAGAGCACTCATCGCGGAGGGAGCCTAGAGGTGAAGTGATGGAGCGATATTTTGAGCTGCACCCTCTGAAGTTGGAGCTTGGCTTTAGATAGATTGCAAACCACAAAACACTTCAACCAGTGGCCAATTGTACTCGGAGCCTGCTCCCCGCGCTACTAAGATTAATCATCAAGATTTTCTCTCGCTAGCAATCAGGGCCGGCCCCGGCTATTTCAGCGCCCTGTGCAGACTCCCAACTCCCAAGAGACTCCCAACGCCTCCCCGGAAGGGAGAAGGGTTAGTCCCTAGCTTCCGAAATGACGTTGAAACGGAAGGCATTTCCACTTTCTGAACTTAAACTGAGGGTAGCATCATTTATTGCATCATACATTCAGTCATATTTTGGCGCCTCTGATGAATCTGCGCCCTGTGCGGGGGCACATGTGGCACATGCCTAAGGCCGGCCCTGCCAGCAATAAACTGAATTCGAACTTGGAAGGAAGCCTCCCCCCTTCCAGAAATCCTGTATCCGTCTCTGACCATCTCTTTATTAAATTCTTGGATGAACTATAATTTGTATAACGCTAGTCTTTACCGGATGATATCGAATTTCCCCGTGTATACCGCAAGGCCGTATTTAGGGGGGTGGGTTTCATGGGGTTCAAACCCCCCTCCCGAAATATCTTCCTTAAATTTTTTCCATACTGCTATTCGTCGGTGTAAACGGGGCAGTACTTGGTCTTTTTTATCTTTAATAGATCATCACTTATTAAACACTGCAACTTACAGGAAAATCCAGATATGTCACAAAGACTTACAATGACAAGTATAAAAAAAAAATAGCCACAGCGAATACGCCAGACCTCAACCCCCCCCCGAAATGAAATCCTAGATTGTGTACAGAACTAGAAGCTTCATTGGATACCTCCATGTGAAGAGACTGGAGTCTGCTATAAAACAAATTTTTATGGATCTATACCAAAAAATCACAGGGAATTTCTGCGGAAAATATCATTTTGAACGCACTTTGAGGTGACACTATGCCTGCAGATGCAGGATGTCTTGGTTTTGAGAATTTCACGAAAAGTAAATAAACGTGGCTTGAGGGGATAACTTGGCCATACACTGTCCCAATAAATGATTCACATTCTCACAGACGGCTTGCATTAACCAAACTCCAGTCCAGATCCAGACTGCCCGTGGTTTCAGACCAACGGCAAAAAAGGTTAAAATCATGATATAAAAAGTTCGGCTCGACCCGAGGAGGATCTCCAGAATCTTGGCACTCAGTGGAGAGGTTGTATGTTTTCGCCAGTCTGTAAACCTTACAGGTCTCTAGTTTGAGTGTAGCCTTAAAGCATCATGGCGTCTAGCTGGACCTAGTCTGCCTCTGACGGTTTTTCTTGTAGACTAATTGAATGCTGATGACTAACGTTAGGCCGGAGCCAAATGGTGAACCTTGGGGCATAGTTTTTGTTTATCCCTATCTTGGAAAGGCGATAACCAGTGGAGCAGCTTGCCTGGAGTAGGCTTAGGTCAATTCATTCTTCGAGGCTCTGGAGGAGAGACTGGCATGGAGGGGATCGAGAGGAATCTGCAGAGAATCTTACGAGGGGAAGCTGCACAAGAATCCCAGGAGTTCTGTGATTTCACCCTCCGTGAGCAGAATGAAGCCACAGGTAAGGGAACTAATAGCTACAAATTTGCATGTTAATAGAGTCCGCCCTGCTCAGGAAGCTCCACTCATAATCGGGATGGGATGATGGATGATATAAATGAAACAGGAAAGAAATGCATAACATACGGAGAAGAGGAAAAGGAAAAAAGGAAGTATGCAGCCGATAGGGTAGGTGATACAAATTCCATTCCCCTTAAGCTCAACATCTGCCTCTCATTTACATTTAGACATTTTGGGGGGGTCTTTGCCATTCAAGAGAAAAGTGCACACTATGCATTCATGTTTGAGACTGGACATTGAATATGTTTTGCTGAAAGAGGCTGTTTTGGACATTCTTTATGTTGGATTATGTAACATGGGAGCAGATTTCTTAGCAGGATCAGAATTTGCTTCACCTACCTTGCAAGGGGAAGGAAGGAAAACAAAAGTGTGCAATAGGTAAGTGTACAAAGAGCAATGTCTATGGGGAAATAAGAATAATGAAATAAAATGAATTAATCATATTAAGACTCAAGACAGGAAGGGTAAATTATCATAGGTTGACTTCAATAGGGGGAGAATAAGACAAAACTCCAGCAATCCTCCTATACTGTGCATTCATTCATATTAGTCTCTAAAGTCCCTAAAAGCCAAGTTCTAAACAATGGTCCTTCAATCACGATGCTGCCTTTCTATTCAGGTGGAGGCCATACTGATCAAAGGAACCAGTAGTGATGCTTGATACCATAGTCTTGCACTGTCAACATCTGATGGTATTGGATGACAAGGGTCAGGCTAATGTTTCCTAGAGCTCCATTTTCATAAACCTGAAACTGATAAGCTCTTCTGGATCCCAATATTCTACAGTCCCCTTTTAAAATGTAATTTCACTCTTAATAGTGAATTTATGTCTATGGTGCCAGCATGTCTCCATGAGCAACAATTAACTTTTCCTTCCAAACCTAAATGAAATTTAAAACTTAAGAAAATTGTAACCAGTGGTCATTTATCTAAGCCAAAACTTCTGAAGAAAGCATTGCTTCAAGGATGGTTTTTGCTTTGTGAGGACTGTGTTTGAGTACTGCATTTTTTTTGCAGTATTAGAAAGTTCATTTCAATGTCTAAAATGAAAGAATTTGAGGCATTGAAAATTCTTTGGACAGAGTGAATAGCAGAGTATCATTTATAGATTTAGTTAGTGAGAATACTCCTTTGAAAGTGCTCATTAACTTTGAGGAGTGGGTTTTTATTAGTGCCTGCAAGATTCCACGTAGTGAATATGTGGAGGGCAGCAGAGCATTAGCCTGTAAATATATGGGCATACTCCTCAAAGGGTTAAATCTTTGCTGTAGTTACTCGGGGATCAGAGGTGGTATTATTAACTGAGAGTGAATTGTCTTGGCTTTTTATAATAAAGTTCTTATCTGAAGAAGGACCATTTATATAGAATGAATCTGCAAACAGTATTCACATAGGAACAATAGGAAATACATCCTACACTATGAGCCTAATTCAAAGTCCTTTTTTATTTTCCTCCTGTTATATGTTGAGGCAAGGCTAGACTTGTCAACAGGAGACAGTTTGTTACTGCTCAAGAGAATACAGTTACTCTGTTGGTCATTGGGGTTATTGATGGGTCAGTATGCAAGAACTTTGAAGCACCTTGATTTTGGATGAGCAAAATATGTCTTCTAGCCAGAGGATCAGGAGACCAGGAAGTAAAGGTTTTTAGCACTTCATTCTACCTATTTCATTCACTCAGAGTGGAGGAGAATGGGGGGACCATTTTCCAATAGAGCTGGGCTTGAAGCACTCCCTATTTCACTTTTATTTTGTAGCTCACTTTCAAATACAGATCAAATGGGAGGGATTGGGGTGTAAGGAACAATTTCCATTTTGTCTGAAGAAAGCTGGAGGTGTATACTTGTGTTGATTGTTTGAGTAATTTTTTATGATTTGGAGCCATGAGCATAGGACTAGGCTCAGCATTGGGCAGATTTTCATGGGAGGTAGCTATGTGCCAGTCAGTGACTCATTTTGAAGTATTGTCTTCCCTAACCTTCTACAAGAACTCCAGCTGAATAGTAAAAATGAAAGGAAAGTACTATCAAGCTTGAAGTCATCCACCTGATGAACTCATATTCAGAGCAATTTGAGCTTGAGTAAATAATTTTTTTGTTACAGCATGTGATAAGTCAATAAGCCAATAAAATATGATGCTTTTTTTAAAATTATAGCTGCAAAGGGGATCATCACACCAAGTGCTCCATCAGAATTCCATCCAGTGTTGAAGAAGAATGTGTGCTACATCGTCATGGCAGTCCTGATAAATGATTCTGGGGAAGTCCTCATGATGCAAGAAGCCAAGAGTTCCTGTGCTGGGCAATGGTACCTCCCTGCTGGCAGAATGGAACCTCAGGAATCTATCCAGGTCTTTTTAATACACCTCTCATGCAACACTGTCCTGGAAGCAGTAGGACCCTTTTGAAAGTCAGAACCATTCAACATAACCTGAATGATGCTTCAAAAAAGGGAGAAATTACCTGAAGCTTTATTATGAAAACTTAAGTTTTCAATGTGCTATTTTTCCCTTGCATGAATTTTAACTACAGAACTTAAAAAGACCCAAAACTTGAGATATTATATTGAGATCTTACTTAATTTAGTCATTCTCTTAGCTTTTGCTTGTGTCTTAGTGTTTGAAGAGAGATCTTTCACATATATTTCAGGACCTTAACAAGTGTTCAAAGTTGTGGCAAATTTCGAGATTGGTTCAGAATATGCATTGGTGAAGGGAAGCATTTAACTGTCATGGAGCTGTAGAGTTTCCCCCTTGATTTGTGTCATGAAGTTATGAAGTTGAAATCTTCTATTGAACTTTCCAAGCCCAGTCCTATGGGTAGAATGGATGGTAATCAAAAGGGTCTTACTATGTGTGGTACCCCCTGTTTAATCACTGCTTTGTTATGATACAATGATTAACTTTTTAAGCCTAATTTCTTTGAGGGCAAGGGAAGTGTATTAATGGGCTGTGTAAACTAGCCTCTGATGTCTTTTTCCCTTTCATTTCTAAAGTAGGATTTTCTTAGCTCTGTAATGTAGATCAAACACTATAAATTAATTTAATTTTTTATATGAATGCCTAGTCAGTTTGGTTTTGTCTGTAGCCAGGTAGAAAATAAACAGCCTTTGTACCTATGTTAAACAAAGATCCTCTCTTCCAGATCTATACTTTTAGTTTGGAAGTACTGCATGAAGTGTGGTAGTCTCAAAATTTGAGAAAGGAAAGAAGTGTGTCTATTTTGGAGTTTATTTCAGAATATACCAATTGACATCTGAATCAGATGTGGAGAGCTGAAGAGGACTCATCTTTCATAGATCAGAGTCTCCATCAAAAGTGGTCATAGTGCCCTTCCCTTAAATTAACCCTTTCACTCCTGAGCAGAATTGTATCACATTATGAAGAGCAAATATATTGACACCTTGGGATTCTAAGGGTACAGATGCATTGGTAACTACTGGAAATAGTTGCTTGCCTGTCTTTCGTGTCTGTCTAAAGAAAACATAGGCTTATACCAGTCCAGGCCTCTTTAAATCTAGTAAAAGGGCATCCAGCCAGAGTACCCTTTTATTTCTAAGAACGCATGGACCAAGGGGCTACGATTTACATGTTTCTGGGTGTGGTGATTCTTGCATTTTGTTGCTAAAAAAAATTATTATATGAGCTCATTATTTAGCCATTCTCTGCCATAGCAACTGCCCCAAATTTTGGCATTGGTCTTCCCATCACACTTGCATATCTTTTCCCTTGGAACTTGTATATGTCTCCAGCTTCCCCCAATGTAAAAAATGGTATGAGGAAGTGGTGTCACTTGTATCTCAAAAGCTGCCATGAAAGAGGTTAACCCTCATCCGGGCAAGCTTTTTTACAACCTATTCCGGACAAGGTGAGTCTGTCAGACTCATGTAAAATAAGGCAGTTTGCTGCGGTTACGGTATGTATTCTTATAAATAACAGTACTATAAGTAAAATAATACAGACAATTTATTCAATGGTCCTGATAGTTTAAAAAAATAATGACAGTAATAGACCAAAATATGTCGTAGTGAGTCCAGCGGACTCACCTTGCCCGGATTAGGGTTAATAACACAGTGCAGAGTATTGGTTTCTTTTTGGAATTCTTGGTTTCTTCTTCCTCTAGTTAGCTTATTCAGCAGTTCTAGCAGTAGCAAATGTGTGTGATTTCATAACTGATCCTTGGTCAAATACTGCATTGATACTCCGCTACTTTAATTCTTGTGGAATGAAAAACCCTTCCTTCATGTTTGAGTTGCTGTTGGAGCTAGAGGTTTTCATTCTTATCTTCAAAGGTCTCTTGCTTCATTTTAGAGAGTGTGCTGAAAAAGTGTTTTTTTTTTTATACTTCCTGTACAAGTAGCTCAATACCTGAGACCCCTAAGTATTACATCACTGTACCATGAGAAATTATTCCTACCTCACATGTCCAAATTAGTTTAATACAGGGTTGTCCACAATTGTCTCCCCAAAAGTAATAGGTTAATTCTTAGGAAGTATACATCCAATCAATGATATATGGCTCAAACAATAGCCAATTCAATATATTTTTAGTCTGGAAAATTTCAGCATTCCATAAAAAAAACTAGAACAAAGTTGCATCCTTACAAATGAAAGCCGCCAAATCACCAGTATTCAATGTGACTTCCACAATTGTCAATGACTTGGTGCAGTCTCTCTTTGAATGCCAGCAGAATTCTTTCAATCATCTCTGGTGGCAAAGCATCTCTGTAGCAAAGCATCTCTGATGGCCTGTTTCAGCATATCTAGGCTCTCATAGGTCCACTGATGAATCTCTTCAGGTTCAGAAACCTCATATGAATTGTCTCATGATCTCATCAGGAACTGAGGCATTTAAACCCAAACTGAAGAAATTTCCAAATTTTCCTCACACAAATTTTCTCTCTTCAAATTATCAAACCAAATGGCAATATTCGTCTTTTGCAGGATACCGAGGTCACCCATGACACAGACAATACCATCGCGATGCATGAAAAACCCACGAATGTATTGCAAATTTCAGAAGGGATTATGATATTTATAGACTTTAGTTGCACAATATAGGTAATTTCATTTGTTATGTTATAACTTTGTTCCAGTTTCTTATGGAAAGCTGAAGTTTTCACAGTAAAAATATATTGAATTGGTTATCATTTGAGTCTCATATTGAAATCGGATGTATGCTTTCTGAGTAATAAGCTTTTACTTTTGGGGAGACAATTGTGAACCACCCTGTATTTCCTCTGGGACCAACCTGAGGAATTTAAAGTTTAAAGTTTCTATTAGTACTTTTATCACTTGTGAAGTCTTTGGTACCTTCAAGAAGAACATCATTGAACAAAAAGGGATAATTGTGAGTGTGATGAAATGACTCCATAAAATTGCTCATTTTTCAGATTGGTTAAGTATTTTGCAAAGATTACTTTTCAGTACTGACACTTCTTGCATCTCCTTACCTTAGACCCTAGAGATGCACTTTGTTGCTATGAGGGAAGTTTATCTATGTCTTGTCACAGATGAGTGAATGCTTGTCAGCATCCACTCTGCTTTTACTATGGAGGTTTTCACCTAGGATAATTTTTGTTCTAGAACCATTGGTATATTTTAGATAATTTTCTTTTAGTGCTTTCAGTCCCTTACCACAGTGGTTCTCAATTTTTTTTATCCACAGCCCACCTTAACAACTACAAAGTGATCTGTGGCCCACTACAGACTGCATAATTCCTTTTCGTCTAACTGTTAACTCCTATTTTTAGATTCAGGGATACTTGATATGGCCCACCAGTTGAGAACCACTGCCCTACCAGATTTACTGTATTTAGTAATACCTTGCAAGTCAAGAGAGTATCCCTGCATTGGATGTTCTTGTATTATTATGAACCATAGTTATGAAAATGAGGAGTTACATTAGTTCTTACTGAAACACCTTCATTCATCTTTTGCAAGGCTATGCTTGTTAAGCTGGCATTTAATTGTCATTTGCAGGTTGAGTTTCGGGCACTGAGCCTGCTATATTTACTTGCAGGTTGCTGCAAAGAGAGAAGTGAAGGAAGAAACAGGGCTGGATTTTGAACCCACAACTCTCCTCATGGTTGAAAGTGCTGGAGGAGCTTGGTTTCGCTTCATTCTTACTGGTGAAATTCTTGGTAAGCCTCAGTTTCATCATACATACTGGTTCCCAGCCTAATAGATTCTCCACCAGAGCAAAGAAGTGAAATGATAGCATTGTTAGGTTGATATATACAGTAGACTCATAAGTTTCGTATGCATAAGGTCCATTTCATTAGAAACTGGCCTTATTTGGTAGGGGCATCAACAGGAATGAAATTTATGCTCTCAAGTTGATATCCATGGGATTGCATAAAATGGATCATGTTGGTGCTTTTCATTGAGTACACATTGAATTGTGTGGAACAGGAGGAAAGCTGAAGACACCAGCAGATGCCAACTCAGAATCCCTTCAGGCAAAATGGGTGAAGGAATTGAGTGAACTGAGCCTACGTGCTGGAGATATACTGCCAGTAATTGAGAAAGCTCGGGAATGGCATACTCATGCTTCCATTGGTAGTCAGAAGGTCAATTGGCACCCTTGTCTCCTCCCAACACCCAAGAGCCATTCACGACTCCTCCTTCGCATTGCCTGCCTTGTCCGCAAAAAATCCACGTATGACCCTTTTGAATTTATCTAACCATGTTGCTCCTGTGAAACTTTCTAATGATGGTAGCAGATTGAGCAGAAAGAGTATATGAATGAATATATGTTATGAATGCAGAAATCGAGTCCATTTGCTGGTATCTGAGAAGACTGAAGCTCATATTCCCACTTGTGAGATCAATCCAATCCGCAGTATCCATTCCACTCTCAAAAAATACATGACTGTGAGCGTGCTGTCTCTATTTGATATTAAAGTTATATTGTTTTGCGATTTCTCATGGTGGTGACAGAATGAATGAATAGCCTGTATTTCTCTCTAACAGGAGATATTTGGAGCAGATTTGCCACCACACCGTCCTCATGGGATTCTGTCAGTGGAGTATGATGGGAGAGATGTTGATAGGGGAGATGGGCTGTGCCTCACTCTGTTGGTATCCATTCGTTGCCCACTAGAAAATGCCCCCCTGATTGACAAATATTCCTGGATGGAACTCTCAGAGCAGACTGGTCTCTTGCTCCTAGGTCGTCTTGACAAGAACATGTCTGTTCCGCTCAACGTCGTCCGGTAGGTCAGTCTGTCTCTCTCTTCTTTCCCCCATGCAAACCCATCTGTTCAGTTTTTTTCCAACCTCATTGAGAGAACGAAATCAGTTTTTACATGTGTGTCTCTCTCTCTGTCTTTCTCTACCTGTTGTAGGACTTGGGACTCAGTTGCATGAAATCAAGAAGGAAGCTCATTCTCCTGGCAGCTCTTACCTTCCTTCACGGAAGCATTTATTTTATATATTTATATATTTTACTTTTTCTATGAGGCTTTGCTGTTCTTACTTATATTGACACTAAAAGTTTTTATATTGTTGATTGTTGCATCATTGTCTTTATTATTGAAAATAAAGTTTTGCCTTCTTGCATGAATTCCTTGATTGTGGAAATTTCAGGCGAGTTCACATGAAACAGAGCCGCATGGAGGGGGATGGAATAAAACCTCCACGCTCGTCCTTGTCATCGAGCTTCAGCGAGCCACCCCTTCATCTCATTTCTCTCATTCCAAGTGTCCATTGTCTCTCTCTTTTCATCTGCCCCTCTCCTCCCTTCACTGTTATTTTTTTTCCCACGACCAAGATGTTGAGGGGGTTATGGAGATGGTATTCATCAGTACTGAAACGTCATCCACTGATTGTGAATTGCATCCAAACCAGTGGGATCATGGCATGTGGTGATGTGATTGCCCAAGTAATGGTAGAGAAGTGCCATGCCAAAAATATCAATTGGGGGCGTACTGAGCGGTTTGCAATTCTTGGAACATTCCTTGTTGTGCCTATGATCCGTACCTGGTATCTCACCCTAGATCGATTCATTGGTATGTTTCACCTCAGTCTCTTCATTTAACATTGGATGCATTTACAAGTTAGACTTGTTCAGTAATGAGTCCTTCCCTATGGGTGACAGTCGGTGGCAGACAAGTGAGTATAGCTCTACGCAAGATGGTCTGTGATCAAGGACTCTTTGCCCCCTTTTTCTTGGTGGTGTTCCTTGCCACAGTGGAGGTATTGAAACCCACTAGGATGACTTCCAATCATGAGTCTGCATTAAGCTCTCAATGGCTTGCAATCAAGAGGAAACTGGAGGAAGAGTACTTTGACGTTATCAAAGTGAACTGGCTTCTCTGGCCATCAGTTCAACTAGGCAATTTCTATCTTGTTCCTCTCCAGTATCGCATCTTGGTTGTCCAGGTGGTTGCTCTTTTCTGGAACACTTATCTTGCATGGAAGGCCAACAACTAACTCCAGCTGCTCCTAATTGCTAGTTTAAAATTTCTTGAATGCCATCCAGTTGGAAGGCTTAGTTCATCACTCTTTGTCAATTATGTTCTTGACCTTGTTCATGTGAATTTGTTGAAGATTGTCATGGATGTTGTGCAGAGTCAAGCCAGTGAGTTATCAGTAGGCTTGATGCCACAGCTGTTTATTTTTCTTTCTTCCCAGTGAGCCCTCAATAGTCATCATATCTTTGAGAACATTACTTACCTGATGAATGGAAGGGATTAAAGCATAAAAGCTTAATGAAGTTTAGAGTTACAAGATGCTATTTAAGACCCATCAGCATCAATGTTTTGCAATAAGCAATTGTATAAAATGAAGCAGATTTGTTTCCTCTTGCTGCTCCCATAATCTCCTTGAGACTATACTGTGAATCTTGTCAATTTTAGTAAATTCATATTAAAAAATCCTGAGAAACCTTTCCAAGTGCAAGGTGGGTGGGTCATTTTGATGCCAACATCCAACTTTTCTTCTTTGAATTTCTTGTTCCTCTGGACCATGGCATGAAGAAGTACAATTCTTGCTAGTTCTCTGGCAAAAAGTTTAAGTAAACCTATGGTAATTGCACTTGCTTCCCACTGACCTAAAGATGGACATAGCCAAGATGGATTCTATCTCATCATTTATTGGGCCATTTGTCTTCTTTCATAATTATTTCAATTTAGCATATTTTACTGGGTTTTTTTTTTCAATGTGAGTTGGTTTCAATGGGTACGTGTTTTTCACAATGACGACAGGAAAGCTTTGAGTTCATATTTGGATCTCCAATCAAAGTCTATATAATGTTTACTCCTGTCAAATACCACTACTCTTGCTTCTCCATACAAATATTGTCATGCCAACCAAGTTACATGAAGTCCCCTCTTCATGGTTTCAAAAGTTTCAAAAGTGCATCTTGGAATTTCATGCCTCAAACTATTTTTCCCAATGCTGAATTTGTGTCCCACTCATGGAGATTATGAATTCTAAGAGGAATCTATTTTGATCTCACTGCATAATGATGCATGTTTTGAGTTACCCAAAACTTCATATCATATTTTCACCCTGTTTACACTATTTTTTCCATCATTCATGGCTTCCCTACTTCTATGCCCTCTCACTTGTCCATACAATTGTCAGAAAATGCATGGAAAGCAAGAAATGGAACCTCCAAGGTTGATGGAAACCTCCTCGGGTTTTATTAGTTGATCAGCTGCAGTCTAGTAGCACTGCCAGGTGCGAAATGGCATGTACGCTGTTCCCATCTTCAGGTATTGGTTTCCAACTGCTCCTTTGAATATCGTAAACACATATAGAAATAAAATGAGTGTGCTTGGTACGTTTTCGCACTCACCACATGTCCATCTCCATACATTGCAATGCGCATTTGTTACATATATTTTACACATGTGCACATATTTAGAACTTTGTGCTTAGTTTTTCATTCTGAGGTGCGGATTTCCTGTATAAACGTGTTTATTAATAATAACCCTTTTTCGAAATTGTTCAGCGTTTTACTCAAGCAAAAAACCAACTTTACCCTATGAAAAAGTGGTCAAGGTTCAAGGTTTGGGTTGGGACGTCAGGAGAGGCTGAGCACTCATTAAAGACGGCCTGCCCTAATAAAGAAAATTTCCGGTTGGAACACGTTAATACACTTTTGTCCAAGGCTACGCAATACGTGGCCTGGCAGCATTCCATGTGAAGCTTAAAAAAAAAAAAACGCTATACGCGCTTATGGTTCCCCATCATCCTCAGCCGGTCAAGTTCCCGGCGGTCAGTTCCCCGCCTGGCAAATTCCCTGAAGGGGCGAGTCCCCAACCGTCTTGCTTGTGCAAAAATGAATTTCCCTCGCCTCTTTCTGAGTTTTCTTGGACAATGGTTGGTCGGTACAATCCCCATCGGACGGTAACGAGAAAAATCTGTCGAAGACCGAGGAACAGGGAGGGAAACGCGAAGTAAAAGTACGCGGTAGTACTAACAGGTTTTTTACTTGTTGAATTGGTTATTCCCTGAACGCTCACTTTCTTTAGCAGATATTCATGCACGGGTTCTGACCATTCCTCCAATCCATGAAAATCATTACTGCGCAGGATAGTACAAGATCACAGAGTTAGTCCTCAATTCCTGGGTTTTTTCTTACACGATGTGTCAACCTGAGGCTTAATCAGGGGCGGACTGGCCATCTGGCAGCTCTGGCAAATGTCAGAAGGGTCGGTCTTCTCAAGGGCCGACGGGCAGGTCCTCATGTACCCTATCATTCTTATGCAACAAAATGTACAAGTGAACATGAAGTATATTGGGAATAGGCCCAACTATGAAACAATACATTATCACGCATTTCTAGTAGGTCAATTTTCTTAAAATTTGGCACATGCCTTCTTTCCTCTATCTGCAGTGTTTAAAAAATTTAGTAGATCTAATGAAATTTACTTTCATTAATAGCGAATATGATTTGACTTTTTTTTTAAATACGGTGTACATACGCAACGACCTGCAGATGTCTGTAAAACCGGAATTGGTCCAGTGAGCTCCTTCCAGGCGTCTCAAGCAATTTTCATCATTAACAGCTCATTCGATTCGTAATTTTTTTTTGTAGATATGCTAACTCTTTTTTTTTTTAGTTGACCTTAGGGGTGACCCAGTTGACCTTTCATATTGTTTTGAACCCAAATCATTTTGTAATACGTCATTCGAAAGCACTCGATTTCCCCTGTTAGAATTTGTTTTAACGCTGTAAAAATGTTGAAATCTGACCCTCCTGCGGTCAATCTGAATGTACTGGCGCCATCTCTGTACAGTCTAGATAATTGCTTTGTACAGCGTCAGTTTTCAACTCTTGACTTGAGATCGAAGCTTAGATATCTTCTCGGTTGAACTGAGAAGTGTTCGTCGTTCTCATCCCCCGTGATTCTCTCAGTACCTGCAATTTTTTCATCACCACCCTTTGTTCTTTCATCAAAAGCGATTTTCGTCTTGCGTACAAGGAGATCTAATTTTATTTCCGAGGGACTACCATTGGCCGAAACCCGTCTTGGCCAATGAATCATAAATAGGGCATGAGCAGGGCGGCCTGGGGAAGAGTTCCCAAGTAACCATGATTATTTTTAACCGAGAAACGCATTTTCAGTAGCAATCGCCATTCGCCAATCGCCAATGATCAAAGTCAGTAACAGTCTACACACCTCGTATGTACACGGGTTTTCGACAAGTAAACTATAATGTACTCAAACTTCCCAGGTCGGTTTACGAGAATTTAATGAAAATTTTCCTTTTTTAACCTTTCATCTAGGAGCCGCTTCTACATTTTCTGGGAGGGAACCAGCTATACATGTTTTCAATAGCGTCGCCACCCCCGCAGTATGATTCCACAGTTCCTTGCAGTTGAGAGTTGACGAACCCCCCCCCCCCCCGAACTACACCAACAATTAGGCAGGTCTAATTATTGGATAGTAGTTTGCATCAGTGTGAGTGAAAATGCCAGGGCCGATTTTTAGTCCCAGTCCGCCCCTGCCACCCACCATAGTCACCCCCACTGATTACCACTTCTTCAGGTCCCTGGAAAATTTCTTGCGGGAGAAGCGCTGCGCCAAACAGGGTGAGGTCGAAAAGGAGTTAAATGACTTCGTCGCGTCCAGAGACCCCGAATTCTTCAAGTACGGCATAAAAAAAACTGATGGAAAGTTGGGAAAAGGTTGTTGAATTGAAAGGTTGAAGGTTTTTACTTCGATGAATAAAGTTGATTCTGTGACGAGTTTCAAAGTTGCGGCAAAAGAACCGACAATACTTTTTCCACAACCTGTTACCTTTTGCAACTTGCTTTTAGATGGTTTGCAATTCATGTTTGACAATCGGTGAGTGAAGAATGTCGTTGGGAATGTGTGAAAAGTGGTAGCATTTTCGGCAAAATCAGAATCAGCTTTAATTCATGAGGACTGGATCGTATTGTGATGAAGGCAGTGTTGAGAGGCACGACTGAATGTCCTGGGTTCGGTGGTGCAATGGTTGCACACCTGACCGGCAATCAGGAGGCCCGGGTTCAATTCCCGGCCGTCCCCTGGCTTTCTTTCGTCCTCTCTCGTCCATCCAACCTCCCTACCTTCAGTAACTCACGTGACAACTTATTCCGGTTCCGGCAGCAAAATGTCTTTTTTCGGCGTTTCCAATGAAAGGAAAACTATAAATGAAATACTGCGATTAGAATCTCGAGGTCTTCCGCAATGTTTGAAGTTCGTCGACTAACAAGTTTCCTTCAAAATGCTGATAATGAAAACAAATAATGAAGTCGAAGCAATTGGGAATGAAAGTAGCAATCACTTTAAAGAGTATTCTCTGCTCTAGAGTGGATCCTTAGGTGCAGGTTTGAGACTTTTCCGGGGACAATTTCGTGGTATTCATTCGAGTGGAATAAGAAGGGCTATTTGATTATTCAAGCAAGGAAAACCTATAGGGCTGAGAAAACGCCTTTAATTGAGCCCACAATCGAGTTTACGGTGAATAAATGCTGTAAGTATATCAATCGAAATCCACCAGTAAGAGATTTGTAATTCATTTTCGGCATTCCGTTGTTGAAGAATGTCTGGAAGATCAAGATCGTCAGCTGAATCTGGAATTCATTGTCGGACACATTTCCGGAAAAAAATTCGCTATCGATCAGCAGAAATGAAGTTGAAGCAATTGCGAGTGAATACAGGGCGCTTCACTCACAGAATGTTCCTCGGTAGAGCGGATCGCAAATTTGAGACATTTCCGGGGAGATTGTTATGGGACGTTCTTCCGAAGGGAATGGAAATTTCATTTCCTAACCGGCCAGAACCCAAAGGGTATAGACCAAAAGTTCCACCCGCAATTCAGCGAACAGTGAAAAAACTTCTCCTTAATTTGAAAGATGTCGCTTTGACTTTAAACCCGTTGTTACCCATACCTAGTGCGAGAGCAACTCCTAACACATGTTGACAAGTCGAAATATGCTAGTGACTTCACAG